GGGATGGAGGAGACAAAGTGCTTTGAAAGCGGCACAATGCATTTCCTAAATATGTATGTATTCTTACACAAGCCAGTTGTTTTAAAGCGATTGTGTGTCTCAGTATAGGCGATCAATATACATGTGGGCTATTCTGGATACATCATAGTGCATGATCTACAAAGTCAACACTAAAAATATGTATTCAAACAAAGAAAAAGGCATGAACTGAAACTTTGCAGCCTGCTTCACAAGCATGGTGAAGTGCATGAAGGTGACCGGCTGACCAGTGGACACATTAACAGGTTAGCTGTCACATTCTGTAAACCTCTTTCTCTTACACACCCAATACCAGGGTGTTACATCAGGATGTGTGTATTCCATGTGTGTTGAATCTGAACCCTCCTGTCGTGTTCGGGGCAATTCTGTCCAATTGACTACGTTCATTAATCATAAATATTGTGTTTCTCATTTGATTGCTTCAAGGCCTTATGCTATCCTCCAAAGTAGATACTTGAACATATCAAATACTGATCACCACTTTCATTGAATTTGGAGTGGTTTAGTTTAGTAAAATGACCTCCATAGGAAATGAATGGGTGACCCTAGATGATGTTCATCCATCAGATACACACACACATCGACCACCATGTTCATGTTGGAATAGATTTCAGTGTGTATTCTTTGTATATCCACTGCAGTTATTCATGTCAACCTGAGACGTTGTTCACAGCTTAAAAGTGAGTTCAATAACATTTGGTGAAGATTCATGGTTTGTGTGTTAATGTAAGAGCAGCTAAAACAGACCTGTCACATCTGACCAGGAACACCAAAGTAAGGGGGGAGAAACAAACAATAAAATGAAGGAATATATACAATAATAAAGGCAATCACAGGCAGTAGAAGTGACGGGGGGGGGGGGATAAGCAGGGGAGATAAGCAGGGGAGAACATGAAGGTCTGAGATGAGAACGACAAACTGTGCATGTGTGAGAGAGAGGACAGGAGAGAGATGAAAGGCTGGGAGAAATACCACCGGGCCGCTGGAACAAATCCAGGACCCCTCAGAGGAACACACACACACACACACGCACACACACACACACAAATTATTTCGAACAAAGCCTGCATGACAATGATCGTTTTGACAAGTACAGCTATTAACATACTTTTAAACTGCTGTAAGCGTTGTCCTGTTCTCTCCCCATCATTAACCACTTAATGATGGGGAGAGAGACAGAAGGTATTTTATTTTTAAACTTAAAATACAGTTGAACTCTGGACATCAGCTTCAAATTGAAATTTAAGTTCAAAGGAAAATCACACTGAAAGAACTGAAATGTAATTAATTAAATGTATTTTGTCAACAGATTTCACATAACTATATTTACGTGAAATCTGTTGACAAAATACATTTAATTAAAGTAACATTTCAGTTTTTCAGTGTAATAAATGTCAAGACACAATTGATGCAGTATAAAGTTTTGTTATATTGCTGTGTGTAGAGATGTAGCTCCAGTATGATCATGGTTTTGTCGTGTTATGGCACCTACCGTTTTGCACGTCCAGGATGTGATGTTTGTCCAGCGTCCATCCTCCCATGTTGGAAGCATCCAGCTCGTAGCCTTGCAAGATGGCCGTCCTCTTCTCCCACAGGATCAGGTCCAGGCAGGACTCGTATTCAAACCCCACCGATACTGTGAGACACACACAGGACACAGCAAGGTGTTCAACTCTCTCCTTTGACTGAGCTCATGTTCAAACTAAACTTTAAACTTAAGTCGCAGCACTGATTTGAACAGACAAGCACTCCAGAGATTCTTATTGTACACTGCAAAAAAGGAATTTGAACCCTTGTGTGGTGTTCATATTTCTGTTACTCAGCCAGTGTTCGTGGGTCTGGTGGACCTGCTGCCTTTTTGGGCTTCAATTCAACACAATCAAACTATTGTATGTTAAAATGCTCAACAGATGTTTGCTTCATCTCAACTAAAAGCAATATAAACAGCATAGATGGTTCATATTTGCCCTTTTACATTTGTTCGATCACATTAATGAATTCAAGTGCTACTTGTTTTTCTGCGCGCTGACCGGCTGGTCCTGTGGCTCGTCTTTTCTTTGTAACTAGCTGATGCTCAATCTCATCCTCTTCTTCAAAGTCACTGTCAGACTCAGATTCTCAGAAATGTGATCCTCACATTCTGAAGCCTCTTCCTCATCATCATCATCATCATCATCATCATCATCATCATCATCATCATCATCATCATCATCATCATCATCATCATCATCATCAAATGGTTCTCTCTCTTCCAGAATCCTTTGCAAGGCCCTCTGAGCAGAGAATCTTTTGGCCATCTTGATCAGCTGTGATAAGGACCCAAACTGGCAAAGCTCTATTTATTGTGTCTCGCCCCAAACTTGCAGCTGGGATAGAGTGTGAACAAAATAAAGATTGGTTCCCGCAAAACATAATGCGGGAATGTGAGAGCAGACAGGTGTCGGTGCTTGACTCTATCAACAATGTTGCGACCTTGTGGCACGGGCAGAAACACAAAGGTCTCTCACTCTCACACACACACACACCACACACACACACACACACACACACACACACACACCACACACACACACACACACACACCACACACACACACACACACACACACACACATACAGACACACACACACACAGAAGGCCCAGACAGGTGCACAGTACCTACAATGTCCACACTTTTGTTAGCCCCGGGTATGTCATGTAAATGTGTAGGGGGGGGGGTACAGTGGGTGGTTATTGAAAATGTGTTCTGATATATCTCAGAAAATGAGCCAAGGCCATTGAGTGTGGGTTTGAACAAATAATTGATCATATCATTTTTCTTTAGCTAAATAATGAAAAGGGGTCCCACAGACCCGAACACCATACAAGGGTTAATAAAGTAAAAACAACTTTCTTATTCTTATTTTTAGTCTAAAAAGTCAAATGATCTTGTTAAAAATGTTTTGCTTAAGAAAAGTATCTTGTTATGAGCTAGAATGAACCGGTAACAAGTTGCAGCATTGGTTTGCATGGAACAGATTTATTTTTTCTTATTTTAAGAAATAAACCATCAAGCAACTTCTCAATTTAAGAGTCTGATGAAATGACACCAATTTTACGTTTAATATATATATGTATTCATTGTCGAGAGCTGTCTATTCACTTTTCACATTGGCATTGAGACAACTGTGGTGTGGTATACACAACACACACACACAGCAAAAATACAAGTAGAAGTATTGCACGGCACTCATTGATCAAAATGTAAAACTGGGTTCAAATGACCACGCAATGTTGTTAAATGTGTTCATGTTTGAATACAAAAAAGTCTAAATATAAGAATGTTTCTGCTGTCTTAATTTAAGACAAATGCAATAACCCTAACCCTAATTTAGTCAACTCAACCAAAACACTCATTTGAAGTGATTCTTTCTTAAATAATTCAGGAATCATTGCTTGTAATAAGCAAATTGAGCTTACATTTTTCATTTGTGTCTAGTTTCAAGGCCCATCACGGTCTTTCAGTAGCTACATTTTCATTAGTAGTTTTGAGAATTCTAGCCAAGCAGATGTGGCTCACCCCATTGGCAGATTGTTTTGCTTGATACAGGAACATCTGACTTGATTCAAGAAGGGCTGTTTTTGCCGTGGAATGCTATCTTATTTTCAACTATAAGCACCAATTTCAGGAGTATTACCAAACATGCAGCAACGTGTCTTTCTGTTGGTCCCCTTAAAGCGGGCTTCCATGAGTCATAACTCACAGCGAAGTACCTCTGCTGGACTTGTCCCTCATAAAGGTGTCAGGGTTTACATACCCATTATGTCCAAGCCATTTCCCTGTCAGAGCCTTTCTGCACAGACTGTTGAACCTCCTCCCTGTCATCTGCTCAGTTGCTGTGCACAGTATGTTGTCTGACTTATGTTGTGTTGGTTGGTGCAATGTCATTGTATGCAGTACATTTTCTCTCAACACTTGTACTTCTATTTTTATAATTATTTCCAATGCTTTCCAAAATGTATTGTTAAATGAATAGGTTAACATTAAGGTTCAGACATATTCACAGAACTACAAGCAGGAGCTATTATGAATGGGAGAGTAGCCATATTATACATTGACCTTTTACTCTTAACACAAATGAACCTCCATTCTTTTATATCAAATACAGCACATAGCTTATTGTAAAATCATTTGTTATTACTTTACCATTCTGTCTTTTAAAAGGAAAGCTAGTGTTCTTGTCTATACAGCTCTTTTCGCCCAAACATAATGCAGTTCACACTTTACAACCATTTGATTGGCTCCCAATCAGGAATCATTTCAAAAAGAAAATGATCAGTAGTTAGTTGTTGGGGAATGTATGTAGTCTCTGAATGAGAATGTAAAATGCTCCTCGACTTTGGAGCAGCTTTTTTCACAATCTGAGAGGAACATGCTGATGACAGTCTGTGTGTAGCTTTGCTTTTAGCAGCTCACTCACCAACGGCCTCCGAGAGTCCATAGACGCGCTGGCCATAGGCATCTGTCTTGTCCCAGATAAAGGTGTAGGATAGATTCGGTTGCGCAGGGAACCATTTCTGGAAAAGGCGACCCACAACAGCCACCATCAGGTGAACCTGGGGAGACAGCAGCAGACACAAAGGTCACCTCGTGGGACTCAGGTCAGGGTTATGCTGCTACGGGGTGGTGCTGATTAGCTGACTCAAGCCGTTGAACCACAGCATTCTGTATTAATTCATTTGTTTGCTTTACGATTTGTAGTGGCTTTGAGGAAATATGATATTATATGATATTACATTACTCGCCTTCATCAGGTTGAAAGGTATTGATGACTGTGCCATGGTGACTTTGAGGACAGGTTTATATCCAGCACCTCTGGAGCTCAGGTAGATCAGGTTCAGATCACTGCCTGGTATTGAGGTTTCTTCTTGTAACACCTGCAGAGGGAAAAACATAGCATTCACATCAGCAGGTAACATTATTTAATGTACTGGATGCACACAGCTATATGTGGCCACTATAAGTGTTTGCAGTGAGAAAGAAACCGGCATGAAAGTGTCTGGGGCCTGGCAGCTGTGCATGGTTGGAACCACCATTATTGCATGTCTCTTGAAATCCAAACTTCATGCTCATCACTGCATTTCCTTAGGTTCTCAACAATATACCCACCAAGCGTGAAGGCCATTGGATAAAGCCTTGTCCGGAAAATTGAAAGAAAGACATGCAGACAAAGCCCTTTCACACAGACAGTCCACAGCACCGGCATGAAGCACCTCTGGCAGCAGAGCCAGCTCAGAAGCACGTCAGCCGAGTGGAACCAAAGGAGGCGTGTTGTTTCAAAACCATCGGCATGTAATCCTTTTTTAAACAGAAGTCGACTCGATTTTGTGTTCCTCCTCCTGTTCCATGTCTGTACGTTTTTTACAGAACTGCGAGGTGAAAGAATATCACAACAGATCCGCCTCTAAAGGTCTGTGTGAGGCGCTGGCTGGAGAGACCGCTCCTTTCAGATAGAGGCCTCTGAATCAGTGCAGTACAAAGTATGTGTAAGATCAGGAAGATATGTTAATGATATATAATGACATTTTTAAGCACTGATAGATTATTTGGAAAATCAATACCATAAAGATCCCCCATATATCCAACTTTTTAATCACTCCTGAAAAAACATTGAAGGTAAACTAAATGATGAGGCACTTCTTATTCTAGCTGCATTTTAAAAGTGCATAGAAGTATGCAGGGCCAAACAAAAGTCAAATGTGCTTTAAAACTGACAATGCAGCCTTATTTTGGATCCGCAACAACATCATTAAGGATACACTATTAACAGTCAGTATATCATACTCCTTCATTTGTCTCTGTAGGAAAGTCATGGTGCATGACATGATGATCTGCAGGACTATGCTTCTCTATCAGCTCTGTATGATGACACATTCAACAACTGAGTCACTTTCCAATCGTTTTCCAAAGAATTATAAAAAGCATCAAGCAGCAAATGAAACATTTTGTTTGTGTCAAACATGAGGGGCTACACACACAGAGCTTTCGTCTGAACACAAACTTTGTCCATTCATCTCAGATATTCAGGCACATACACACATGCTTGGCAAATCAAAATAATAATGATTTGGTTCAGGGTTGTACAAATATAAAAACACACACAGAGTTCTGTCATCTGTTCCACGTCCTCTGCACACTGGTTAATGCGCTGAGACCATAAAGAACCACACACATGTGCTTTTAGGTTTATAGAACATTAGAGTGTGTGTGTGTGTGTGTGTGTGTGTGTGTGTGTGTGTGTGTGTGTGTGTGTGTGTGGGTGTGTGTGTGTGAGTGTGTGTGTGTGTGTGTTCACTGACAGAGACTTCATAAACCTAGAAAAAAAGGCATAAACCTGTAACATGTACTTTCTATGTATTTGTATTTGATTGGCCCTTCATGTGTGGACTGAAGAACAGCGTCCTCCTCCAGTTAAACATGTAATTTCTATAATTCACCCTCCTTGCCATACTCAATAAATGACAGAGCAGGGCTCAATGCTAACTTTTAAAACTGGTTGCCAGGCAACCAGGCATCAGCTTTTGGTTGCCAAAACTGAAAATACGGTTGCCATTTTTAGTCACCTTATATTTTAAATAATTAAGATACTATAGTTTAATACATCAACTTAATAATGAACATGTGACACAAAAGAATGTTCAAATGCTTTACAATAAGTAACTAAAATAATTATTTGAAACTTAAGCGGTAGGAAACTTGTCCACCCTCAATTGCTGGTATACTAAATACCAGTAGTGCAGCTGTTGTTCTTCACAGATCCCTCACAAATGAATTGAGCAAGTCACTAGTTTCTTGGTCATCCGTTGTCTCCCTTTCAAATGTGGGTTTTCTTGACCTTTGTGCTGACCCCCACCATAGATCCATTGGCCCTTCAGCATCGAAGTCTTGATTGTGGTTCTGTCATTGGCCAGACTAATACATTTATAATGTTAAATGAATGAAAACCATTCACAGTTAATAATTAGATATTAATTATTAATGCTGTAAATGACCTTTAATATGTCTAACTATATTTAAAATGTGTTACCTTTTTATATTAGTGATTATATGTGTATGCCAATATTTTCCTATGGTAAAGTTTCGTTTAGCACTTTTATTTGGGTAGTAATAAGATCGGGACTCTTATTTTGAAGGAACTTTTACCGGAAGTGAAAGCACAACGAAGCTGAATGTACATATATATTTCACCTCCCAAGACTTTACACATTTCCTCTTTGCTTTTCATTAGGGTTCATCTTGCGCTTTATGAGTTGAATCACTTTGATCTTCCGTTTGAGATGTTGACGGGTTGGCTGAACTTTTTACCCCACAGTCAAACAACTTAATTTGCTTCGCCATTTTTTGTAAAACAAACACATGGCGCACCGCGCACGCGAGTAAACGTGCATCGCTTTCTGGCTCCGTAATCACACCAATGCACGTGCAACTTAAGTATCAGGTTCCGACTGGTCCATAATTAAATATCACTCTTAATACAACAAATATTTATCTATTTTAGGGTGCACATTTAGCTGTTTGCTGTCCTTATTTCTTTATGTTAAAAACTGGTTGCCACTGATAGCAACCAAAGGCCAAGAAGTGGTTGACATTGTTTCTGAATGGTTGCCAGTGGCAACCTGGCAACCGTTACTGTCGAGCCCTGCTGAGTCTAAAAGGTTTATTCTAATCACCTTGTATTCTTCATTTAAACATCCTTGAGAGATACATTTTGTGTTTATATATTACCAATTCAAACAAATATTAAAATAAAAACTGTATAACGTTTATCAAAAATATCTATGCATTGTGTATATGTATGTTGTTAAAAAGTCTTCTTTCTTATCTTATAAAAAAGTAAGTTCCTTTTGCCCACTGTCCATAGTCCATAATGGAGCATGGACAGCAATGTTAGTTGACGTTTATGAATCTTTTGAAAGTAGGAGTAGGTTGGCTCATAATAAGATGACCATTTTATTTATTTTTTGCATTTCTATCAACATTTTCTTTTATGAGAAAGAGGCATAAAAAGTGTCACTCCTATAATCATAATCCCTTGTCTTATTTCCATTCGGGTTATAATGATGCTCCCATAATTATATTCTATTATGTTGCCATGGCGTCAGTGTGGGCTACAACCGAAGCCCTGTTTTTTTAGCCTATGTTTGTTTACATTTTGGCAGAATTACATCACTGAAACTATAATGAAATAACTATCAGCAATGTGTTTCTAACTGTCAGAGACTTACTAAGATAATGACGACAAAGACCATTTCATTGACCATTCTGGCAGAGATCTTATTTTTATAAACGTATCAATAAATGGCGTTGGGTACATGTCCAGGGACGCAGGTCTTACCTGAGTCTCAGGTATGATGGGGCCATCATCAGAGGAACATCTGTGAAAGGTGGACAGAGGAGAGGCGACGATGACGGGGCTGGGTCGGATGAAGCCACTCAGGTCACAGCTGGGGATGTCATTCTCCTCCTGATACAAGGCAAGGCAAGGCAAGTTTATTTATATAGCACTTTTCAACACAAGGCAATTCAAAGTGCTTTACAAAAAATGAAAGAGATTAAGAAAATGGCATTTAAAATATGTCATTAAAAAGAAAAGCTAATAAAATAAACATTAAAAGAAAAAATACATGGATAAAAGTTACAGTGCAGTCAATTAAACATTAAAAGAAAAAAAGTACATGGATAAAAGTTACAGTGCAGTCTAAGATACAGACACACAAAACCTGTTAACACCCGTTACACTGCTTTCAACATTCATTTGACTGTGATTTGAGATGTGAGGTTAAATGAATAGTAACATTATAGTTGTAATGTTTAATGTGCTAGACCTAATAGATTGTACATCTGTATTTTGATCTGTTTTAATTGTTAGTGTGATAGACAATAAGACACGTCTTCAGTGCTTATCGATTGTTATATTTGTACCTGCCCAGGGACTGCAGATGGAAAAGAGACAACATTTCTCTATGTTGGAATTCAACAGACACTGGAATGGAATGGCTGCCATACATGTAGAGATAAAGATTTAGGAAACATTTGGAGTGGTCTCTTAATTGTTTGCAGAGCTGTAGCATCTCTTCTCTTTTTGAGATTACTTTATTTGTATGCATTTTCCTTCTTCAATAAAGGACAACATTTTTGGAAGTTATAACACAGACTGCTGAATGAGTATGAAAATAATAATAAATTAATGAAATAATTCTGTCATTAAATATTCAGTTAGTTTATTCCATGAAAATCTACAAAGAGTCAACATGGCAAGCTTCTAAATGCTGTTTGAATAAACCGGAACATTAAAGTATAGTTTGTATCTGCAGTCATTAGTCCATGAGGCCCTGGTGACAGACAGCGCTCACCTTCTTCATCACCAGGGTGTCCATCACATAGAAAACGTTCCATGGCACCCACACTGTTCTGTACTGCGTGAGGAATGGAGCGCGCTCAAAACTCAACGTTAGGGAAGCTCCGCCGTTTGCCAGGAGATCAAACCTGAGGCACATCCACAACAAACAGAGAAACAAATACATATTTACCGTAATTAATAGAAACAACAGCTGAAGAATAGGAATCATTCCCTTTGAGCGTGTAATTCCTCCTCACAGTCAACAGGCACTACTAACGTTTCCATTCTTGATTTATTATTATGTTATTATTTTAACAATAAAGAGTCAATTTAGAAATGCCATCACTGGGCATTTCAGCGGTGCTTGCATGTTTTAGTTTGACTAAATTGGCAGTGTCGCAGGGTTATGAGATATAATGTCTTGTTTTCTCTGCTTTCTCAGCAAATTCATGCTTAATTTTTCACTTTGTACACTGGGAAGAGTAAGGTGTACTGATTGAACAGTCACATTATTATAGTGTTTGACAGTGAGAAAGGGCAATCATTTTAAAACAAACAGCTTTAAATGTTCATTTCGTTTTTACGCTTAAAGGAATCACAATCTCTTATTCAGGCCGGGACTTTACTTCACCTGTGGAACACTGAAATCAGACACAAACTGACCTGCAAATAAACCATGTGTCAACAAATATATTGGCATACAGCTGGCTTTTACACTGTTCAAAGGTACATTTGTCTACACATATCTATTTTAAAAACAAAGGAAGTGTCAAGTGAAACATTTGTGGAGAAGGGTGCAAGGTGGATATAAAACAGAAGGCTTTATACATATACTTTATAATAATAAATAAATACATACATGCCATCCTTGCGTGTCACAGTGTATCCATGTTCAGGATAGTGGACAAACGTGACGTTGACTCCAATCAGAGGTGTTCCATCAGCTGTCAACACCTGACCGCGAATTATCGACACCAGGCTGCAGACACAGAGGGAGAGAGGGTCACTTTATTAGAGCTGCACTCTGCATCCAAACAATATGTATTATATCTGACCGCAATTCATGTAGGAAATTAAGCCATCATGGATAGAAAATTATCCTGCCGGAAATCTTTCTTGGGGAAGACATTTTGTTTGGAAAGACACAGAGACACCACCGCCTTCATCAGCATCACTGTGACTCTGTAGCATCACTGTGACTCTGTAGCATCACTGTGACTCTGTAGCATCACTGTGACTCTGTAGCATCACTGTGACTCTATAGCATCACTGTGACTCTGTAGCATCACTGTGACTCTATAGCATCACTGTGACTCTGTAGCATCACTGTGACTCTGTAGCATCACTGTGACTCTGTAGCATCACTGTGACTCTATACACTGTGACTCTGTACATCACTGTGACTCTGTACATCACTGTGACTCTGTAGCATCACTGTGACTCTGTAGCATCACTGTGACTTTGTAGCATCACGGTGACTCTGTAGCATCACTGTGACTCTATACACTGTGACTCTATACACTGTGACTCTGTAGCATCACTGTGACTCTGTAGCATCACTGTGACTCTATACACTGACTCTATAGCATCACTGTGACTCTATACACTGACTCTGTAGCATCACTGTGACTCTATACACTGTGACTCTGTACATCACTGTGACTCTATACACTGTGACTCTGTAGCATCACTGTGACTATATAGCATCACTGTGACTCTGTAGCATCACTGTGACTCTATAGCATCACTGTGACTCTGTAGCATCACTGTGACTCTGTAGCATCACTGTGACTCTATAGCATCACTGTGACTCTGTAGCATCACTGTGACTCTGTAGCATCACTGTGACTCTATATCATCACTGTGACTCTGTAGCATCACTGTGACTCTGTAGCATCACTGTGACTCTATACACTGTGACTCTGTACATCACTGTGACTCTGTACATCACTGTGACTCTGTAGCATCACTGTGACTCTATACACTGTGACTCTATACACTGTGACTCTATACACTGTGACTCTGTAGCATCACTGTGACTCTATAGCATCACTGTGACTCTGTAGCATCACTGTGACTCTGTAGCATCACTGTGACTCTATAGCATCACTGTGACTCTGTAGCATCACTGTGACTCTGTAGCATCACTGTGACTCTATAGCATCACTGTGACTCTGTAGCATCACTGTGACTCTGTAGCATCACTGTGACTCTATACACTGTGACTCTGTACATCACTGTGACTCTGTACATCACTGTGACTCTGTAGCATCACTGTGACTCTATACACTGTGACTCTATACACTGTGACTCTGTAGCATCACTGTGACTCTGTAGCATCACTGTGACTCTATACACTGTGACTCTATACACTGTGACTCTGTAGCATCACTGTGACTCTGTAGCATCACTGTGACTCTATACACTGACTCTATAGCATCACTGTGACTCTATACACTGACTCTGTAGCATCACTGTGACTCTATACACTGTGACTCTGTACATCACTGTGACTCTATACACTGTGACTCTGTAGCATCACTGTGACTCTATAGCATCACTGTGACTCTGTAGCATCACTGTGACTCTGTACATCACTGTGACTCTGTAGCATCACTGTGACTCTATATCATCACTGTGACTCTGTAGCATCACTGTGACTCTGTAGCATCACTGTGACTCTGTAGCATCACTGTGACTCTATAGCATCACTGTGACTCTGTAGCATCACTGTGACTCTGTAGCATCACTGTGACTCTGTAGCATCACTGTGACTCTATAGCATCACTGTGACTCTGTAGCATCACTGTGACTCTGTACATCACTGTGACTCTATACACTGTGACTCTATACACTGTGACTCTGTAGCATCACTGTGACTCTGTAGCATCACTGTGACTCTATACACTGTGACTCTGTAGCATCACTGTGACTCTGTAGCATCACTGTGACTCTATAGCATCACTGTGACTCTGTAGCATCACTGTGACTCTGTAGCATCACTGTGACTCTGTAGCATCACTGTGACTCTGTAGCATCACTGTGACTCTGTAGCATCACTGTGACTCTGTAGCATCACTGTGACTCTGTAGTATCACTGTGACTCTGTAGCATCACTGTGACTCTATACACTGTGACTCTGTAGCATCACTGTGACTCTGTAGCATCACTGTGACTCTATATCATCACTGTGACTCTATAGCATCACTGTGACTCTGTAGCATCACTGTGACTCTGTAGCATCACTGTGACTCTGTAGCATCACTGTGACTCTGTACAACAGCACTCACAGCATGCTACTTAGACAATAATCTAATAATGACCTTTTCTTATTATTACATATCCCCTACTCCCCATCCTTATCATGGGTCAAGTTGAATATGTCTGTATCTGTGTTTTTGTTGGTTTTGACATGTATTCTCATTCACCACCCCTTGCTATGGGGTATACATCCATGTAAAAGACGTGCATGTCGGTAAGGTAACTTACATATCTGTACAACAAATCTCACGGTTCATTAACTTTCTCATTTCACTAACCGCCTCCATTAAGGAATCTAACGGTCCAATCATGTCGACATCAGTCCTGAATGTTGCAGTCCAATAGCTTAATATCTGACCAGATCACAAAAGTCAATTGAAAACACCAAATAAATATAATAAAAAATTAGACTAAATTTTAAATGCAAGCTGAATTGAGTCAAATATTCTCAAACACAATGCAATTATTTCTGCGTGAAGAGATCTAATACAAGAATAATTAAGAATACATTTTGAAAAATATGCTGATAAGCTCTTGTTAGGAAATAACTGTAATCTCATTAGATATAGACTTCCTTAACTGTATAAAACTCACATAAAACTGACCAAAACCTGGCCTCTCTCAGTCCAGCCATACACTTTCTTTGATAATCATGCACCAATTCAACTTTAAAACAGCAAAGCGCAGGTTCTGGTCCAGGCTCTCGTCATCTCACGCCTAGACTACTGCAACTCCCTCCTGGCTGGTCTACCTGCATGTGCCATCCGACCTCTGCAGCTCATCCAGAATGCAGCGGCTCGTCTGGTCTTCAACCTTCCTAAATTTTCCCACACCACGCCGCTCCTCCGCTCCCTTCACTGGCTTCCGGTAACTGCTAGAATCCACTTTAAGACACTGGTACTTGCGTACCATGCTGCGAATGGATCTGGCCCTTCCTACATCCAGGACATGGTTAAACCGTACACCCCAGCACGTGCACTACGCTCTGCATCAGCCAAACGACTCGCTGCACCCTCGCTGCGAGGGGGACCCAAGTTCCCATCAGCAAAAACACGTGGGTTTGCTATCCTGGCTCCAAAATGGTGGAATGAGCTCCCCATTGACATCAGGACAGCAGATAGCTTACACATCTTCCGGCGCAGACTGAAAACTCATCTCTTTCGACTCCACTTCGAGCGATAGAACTATTAACAAAGCACTTATATACTAATAAAGGACTGGCTTATCTATAGCCAGTTGAGTAGCACTTGAAATGTTTGGCTCTATGAAACCTGATGTACTTATATGATTCTGTTTTCTTCAAGGTTGTGTCTTCCTGGTCGAATGTACTTATTGTAAGTCGCTTTGGATAAAAGCGTCAGCTAAATGTAATGTAATGTAAATTCACATATTTGCATCATTTGTTTGCAGCACGTTTTTATATTCTCATTTTATTTCCTTGAATGTGTATTTATGTTTCATGGAAACATTTTGTTCGAAAATAGTTTTTAAGAATATATTTTATATTTTCTTTTATAATAGGTGAAAACCTATTTGGCAATAAACTGTTTTGAGGTCTAATAAAACATTTTTATTACAGGGTGGAAGGCCCATTCCATAATGGAAATACAGGACATTTTTACTGCAGGGTGTTGGCCCTCTGCTCTTATGAAACATTCAGGAAAGCATAACAAATGTGACAAAATGGCTGAACAGAACTGCAGTCATGTTTCTTTGCTGTCAGTAGTTCTGCCTTTCAATCTATATCTGTTGCAGACTGCACCCTTATCTTTCTCTCCAATCATATTTCATGAATGTTACATCTGACAGCAGAACAATGTTTCAAGTCAAAAGTCAAACAATCAATATATCAAAATAAGACACACATTATTAATGATGCCATTTTAAGGAAAACAGTGTTTGTAGAAGTAATTCAATCCTTTTTTAAAGAAGACATGATTACCTTTTATTGAACGGAGAGTCTCCAGTGATGACGTGAGTGGATTCAGCACCCAGCAGGAAGTGGATGCGCTGGTAGAAAGACCTGGCAGCCTGAGGAAATAAAAGAATGAAACCGATGGACTGATGCTGCTTCCTTTAATACCTCACTGGAATCTGTTGCTGTACTGAAAAGTGCTGTGTGTTCGTACATGGGAATGACAGTAACATTGTGTAACATCACGTCATGTTAACTTATTTCATCATATAAATAGGGGTGGCCGTGGTTCGAGGCGGAGTTTTAGGCGTGGCCATGCTCCTGAACCTATGTTAACAATTTAACCTCTTTTATTGCTACAAAATGGTATAAGAATGCAAACATTAAGATCTGTTCTGTTTAAATGGATTATAGTCTATTATCAATTCAGGTTAAGTTATCTATCAGGTTTATGTTACATGTTTAGTTTATAGTCTATGTTTAGATTTAGGTTTATGTTAAGTCATGTCTCATTGTTCACTTTTTAAGTGACAGTCACTCATGTCAGTTATTGCACTTGCTGTTTTCTCTTTCAGAGCCCTTTACTTCCTGCCATTATGTGTTTTCCCTCCAGTGAGATCCCTTGATTGCTGCACCCTGTGTCCCCTTACCTATTGTATATATTGTCTTCAGTCTCCCTTTCTCAAGCCAATAGTCAAGATTATTTAATTATAGGTTTTAGGCATTTTGCTCTTGCTACATTTTGCACTTCTGAGAAGAGAGATTTTCTTGTTGTACTTTGTTTCTTCTTTAAGTATAGACTTGTTTAAACCTTGTCCTAAATAGTGCATTTGAGTCCAAGTATTTGTGTCACGTTCTTACTTTCACTTTATTTCCGAATGGAGCTCCTTACCTGCTGAGGAATCAATGAGGACGGGGACTGGCTCAGCACCTCCCCCGGGTCAGGAGACCCTCTGCAGTATAACTGGCTCTGGCAGGAGGGCTGCAGGCAGCAGTCTGGATCCATACAGTCAGTCAAGCCGTCTGAAACACACACACACAAGATTAGATATGACTCACGTTTCATATACAGAATACATCAATATTGTTGATGAACTTCATGCACTATTCCTTTAATAATATTTTTCATTTCTAATATATACAGTATACACTAAATTCATCTCAAGAATAAAATGTTGATTTATGGCAATGAGGACTAATTACATAAATGAAATGTCTAACTGGATGAGCGTTCTTTCAGTCCCAACGTTCTGAAGGAACGCACGCAGCACGCACGCACGCACGCACGCACGCACGCACGCACGCACGCACGCACGCACGCACACGCACGACACACACACACACACGCACGCACACACACACACACACACGCACACACACACACACACACACACACACACACACACACACACACACACACACACACACACACACACACTCCTGTGTCTCAGGTCTCAGGTCTATAAACAGGTTTTACTTTGACTGTTTCCATGGAATGTTTTTTATTATTGTTGTTACTTGTTTGAAACTGTGCTGCTTCAGAGCTTCCTTTTCTCTACAGCTTCTATTTAAAGCATTGCAGGAGCCTTTGAACACTGGAGCTAGTTTACTACACTTGAAAGAGCCGCTCCTGATTGGTGTGTTCAGCCTTTCCACTGCCATATCAAGGTTCACACTAATGTTGTGCATTGCTGAGGAGCAGCGGTGTGTGTGTATACAGTGTGTGTACACCCTCTGTAGGTTCGCTCCCACCAGCAGCTCTCAGCAGGAGGCAGCAGATGAGCCAGCCCATCATTAAGATGCATTATTTTCACTTCTTTTAGATAGTCAACAGTAAAGCTCCTTTTATAGTGGATTGTTAAGGGGGAGCAAATCAGTTTTTTTGTTGAATAAATCGGACGATGATCAATAAGGTTTTGTTCAGGCAGGCAGTAGCTCAGTGAGTAGGGGCGTGGCTTGGGAAGCACATGGTCACGAATGGTCACAGGTTCAAGTCTCTCTACAGACCAACAAAATGAAATGTAGCTGTAAAGGATCCAGTTCACCTCCTGGGCAGTGCCGAAGTGTCCTTGAGCAAAGCACCGAAACCCCAACAGCCTTTGCTCCGACATGACTCCATCAATGCATGTGTTTGTGCATGTGTGTATTTCTGGCCTATGTCTATAAGTACATTTCATTCTTTTGCCTTTTTTATTATTTATTTTTTAAGAGTCGACATGACATTGTTGGTTAGGATGCATTGAATCCATACTGGCTCTGTATAAAGGAATAGCGCTTCAAAAGGATTTTGCATCTGATGTTCCTTATTATTTACCCAAAATAAGATGACATCAGCGTACAGGGGATTTAGGTAGGTACTCTTTTGCTTATAGCACATCTATCAGGCTTAACCATACTAATGTGGTCATTTATATTTTGGTGTCTTACTTTGACTCCAATGAGAGGGTTCAGTTGGTGCTGCAGGTGGCTTATTATTTTTGTCAGTATGTCACTACATATCTGCAGGGGGGGGGGCACATTAAATCGTGGGCGATTGCACAATGGTGGGACAGTAAAGAAAGTTCTTGCGACGTCACAGATATTTGTTGTCTTTGTTTTTACCCCATCTCAGACCATCAATCACACACCACATACCTCCTTCATTGTCCTTGCCATCCGTACAGAGTGTTTCCATGGCTACGTGACACCCGGCCCCTCTCCACCCTGATTGGCAGATGCAGTGCCATCCACTGGCCTCCAGAGTGCAGCGTCCGTTGTTGTTGCAGAGACCGGGACACCCCTCTGAGCGGGGGCAAACACACAGTTAGAGAAGTTAGAGTGGAGGGGGGAGGGGGGTTGCTGGCCATCAGGTTCCAACTAGGCTTCAACCAATATCAAAGGCATGTGCTGATGATGGATTTGTACTGAAAGATGAGCTTTAACAATGTGTTTTATATTTTCACTGCAGAAATGCATCATCATCTGAGCCTCTGAAACAGCACTGAGACCATCACAGGACGAGTAAGGAACTGAGCACCTTCATATTCTTACTCTCACATAAACCTACCATTAAAAGTATAGACTGTTCATTTCTTTGTAAGTGGGCTAACTTACTAAATCTGCAAGTGATCAAACGTTTATTTCCTCCACTGTATTTCCCCCAAAAGGTACACGTTTTAATATCTTAAGTAGGGTTAATGTGTCTCACATTTTGGTTCAAATAAACCATGTTCTACAATGTAGTGTAAGCGAGCCAGCAGCTGCAGGTACTGCTGTGCAATGGAAGTGTTTCAAAAGTCCTTGAATTGCAAAACTATGGTTAGGATCACGTATGAGACGTTAGCTGTTACGTTGCCTCATATACATGCCGTTAAAACTGTGCTATATATACCTGGCTGCTAAATCCTAAGAACTGTTAAAGGATTTTGATAATTATGTAACCTTTTATTTCTTTATTATATTTTTTATATTTGTTATTCTATCATAACTTAGTACTTTTGAATGCATGTAACATATGTAACATTAAGCTGCCTGTGGCTCTTTCTTCTGCTGTAACTATGTAAATGTCCCCTCTGTGGGACTAGTAAAGGTATTCTGATGCTGAAGTCTCACTGATAACAACTACAGCATATCTGTTCTATAGACACACGTGTCACAAACAACTGAGACAGAACATCAACATTTACAGATGCTGCAATGTAAAGTCAATGGAAACATTCCATAATTATTTTTTGAAGAATTCACATAAGTGAGTGTTATGTATCTCATAAACGTACAGAAAATATGGAAAAAGCAGAGAGGAATAATGAGAATAACTAAAGGATCTGAGCCTCACACACAGTCGGTGTGTCCGCTGTTGGCCATTTCACAGCTAACATCTGGGGAGTTGGTACAGTGGCTGTTTGTGGCAAATCAACACAAGCTGTTCAGCAGTCAATTCTTCCAAATTGTTTGTAGCCTTTATTGATGAAATGATGCAAGGCTTTCTGTCTGAACACATGTTGAGTTGAGAGACATCTGGACGTAAATGCTTAACATGTCAGTCTTCATTTTTGTGCAAATGTCTAACTTCTATTGGAGACTCTTCGGAACAGCTTCATTTCATTATCATCAATATAACCATCATGTCTACTTGTTGTTTCCTAATGTGTGGAGCTGTTGCACTGGGAGTTTATTGGGCTTTCTTCAAGAATCATGAACGTCTGTGCTAACTAAACAGCACAATTGATTTTGTAAGTGGTGTGTGAGTGTGTGTTAAGATTAGAGTTATTTGGAAATAATCAAGCTTATCTCAGCTGTTGATGAAACATGTAATCTGTAGTCACCTGAACAACTCTTCGGATAAGACCTCAGTTTACATTATTATAAGAGATGTATTACCCCATGTAAAGGTCTGCATGCTGTTTCAGAAGCTTTCCCACCTCATAAGACTACACAAGGAAAAACTCAATGCTTGTCTTTTGGCATGAGTTTCTATTTGTATCCAAACAGAATGCTAGCTCCAGTACAAATACACCACCACCACCAAAGACCCATATTAGTTCAATCCTGCTGAGTAAAGGTGTTTGGCCCTGTCCAACAGATGAATTGACAGACTGAAAGACAGATTGATAGACACATAAGACAGATCAGCACATTGACCCACATGTGAGACACAGACTGACAGACAGACAGAGTCAGCCCTCTGTGAAATGCACGTTGTAGTTTCACATGAACCGCTAAGAGCGCCTACAGCCAACATGGTTACTGTGTCCTGCTTGGCTTCAATCAGAAATCAATTCAAAATCATTTTTTCCCTCTGTAAACAAAGAAATGTGTTATTGTTGCATAATATGGGGATGAACAACAGGGTAAACAAACAAAGAAGACGCTGAAGTTGAAAGCAGAACCTTCTGAAAATGGTATCATTTTTAAAGATGTCTGTCCAAGTGAAGTCAAACCATGATCTAAGGAGAATATAACAACCAGCTCGCTGACAACGATCCCAGCTTCTTTGAACCCTCCTGTCGTGTTCCTTTCTCCCCATTACTTTGGTGTGCCTGGTCAGATTTGATTTGAGATTTGAGGTCTGTTTTAACTGCTGGATCTGGATCTGGATTAGTACTGAGCAGAACCCAGAGGTATCACGCTCAGTGGGGGATGGATGATCCCCGCTAAATGTCTCTTAAAATTTGCCGGAAGCACTCCACCGTTTCTGCGATGACAGCTTCTTCTGGTAGCAAGTTCCACTCTCTGATTGTTCTCGGAAAGAAGGAGTATTTAAGAGTGTCACTAGTTGCGAAAATTCGCTCGAAGTTCAAAGAGTTGGCTTTGCGGGTTGCACTTCTTCTAACTGGCTCTAGGTACATTGATGCATCAATGGCTGAGATGTTATGGACAATCTTGAAGAAGAGAACCAAACGAGCCAATCGCCGCCTTTCACTTAATTCCACCCAGTTCAACCGCTTAAGCATTTCTGTGACACTGCTGTCCCATTCATAATCTCCAAAAATGAATCTTGCACCTCTTCTTTGTACTGATTCCAGGGCATCACTGTCTTTATCAGTGTAGGGGTCCCAGACCGAGCTGGCGTACTCTAGTTTAGAACGTACTAGGGCCACAAAAGCTGTCTCCTTCAGTTTCTGGGGACAGCATCGCAGGTTCCGGCGTAGGAAGCCGAGCGAACGGTTTGCCTGTGTTACAATGTGGCCAATGTGTTGGCCACATTTCAGGTTGTTATGGATTTCTACCCCAAGATAAGGCTGGTGGGTCACCTCTTTTAACACCTGGCCACATAGAGTATCGTTTTTAATGTGCGGGTTTGTTGATCTGCTTGTTCGTAGGATGTAGCACTTACTAGTATTAAAGCACATTCCCCAAGTGTTAGCCCATTCCTGAAGTCTAGTCAGGTCACCCTGTAGGTCTTCTTGGTCACTGCTCTTACATTAACAAATAAACCCTTAATCATCACCCAAAAAAAATGTACATTTTATTGATATGTGTGTGTACTATCTGATGGATGTATTTGATATGTTCAAAGGTCTACTGTGGAGGATAGCATGAGACCTTGAAGAGATCAAATGTAAAACACAATATTTACGATTAATGAAAGTAGTTCATCGGTCAGATTTGATCCCAACATGACAGGAGGGTTAAAAAGGAAGCCCTTTCTGTTTCAGAAATATGGATTCCTTTAATCTTGTTCAATTCATCCAAAAAATACTAAACAGACCACAGGTTACAATCCATGTGAAAACACAACAGGGAGACAGATACACAGGTACAGAGCGCACAAAGTATAGGGAGGACTGCATGCCTCCCAACACTGTACTTTATGCCTGTGAGGCCGGCAATCTGACAAAAGAACGGTGAGTGTCGGGACCAAGCAAAGCCCAGCTGGAGAGACAGGACGAGGCATGGAGGGAGAGATGGAGGGGAGGTGGAAAGGAGGGGGAAAGATGAAAAATAAGATGGAGACAGGAAGGTGGGGATAGACAGAGGAACAGCAGCTGGTTTACTTCACACAAACATTTATATCAGGCTGGATGCAAGACAACAGGGTTCACACTTCAGCTTTGTGTCTGCTTGTTTGTGTGCGTGCGAGCATTTCCATTTGTCTTCATCTGTATGTCTGCGCTTTGTGTGTTCAAATCAGTGACAGGAACAAAATGATGTGGCAGAAAAGCAAGAAGATAATACAAAACGCTGAGCATTTAAATACAGAAATACAGGAAAAATGGAATGGAATAAATCAGAATCAAAGGAAGCTTGATTTGACAAAGCAGAGTGTGAGGTGGTTGTACTTTGGGACAGTGAGGCCTTTATTAAATCTTTGGCATGATTTACCTTTATATCCTGAGAATAGGAGAGGGCACGAGGGAGAGAGGGAGGAAAATTAGGGAAAAAAGTAAATCGAAACAAAAGCAGCAATGCCAAATATACTCTCTGTGATGGACCGATGAAAATGGCAGCCAAAGGAAGAGGAGAGGGAAAAGAGCTGGGATCTGGGGGGGGGCAATAACACAGAGACACAGCAGCAGAACCTCCACACAGTAAACATTATCACTCCATGTACACCTGTCTTCATTCGCTTTTAAATCACACAATAGGTTAAGGTACAAAGGCAGCTTAAAGAAAATAAATAAAATCACAATTAATAGAGCTTGTGATGCTGCACCATTCACAAAATCATTTGTTTTGTTTATCCTTTATTTAACCAGGTGAACTCCCATTGAGATCAACTTCTTCTTTTCTTGACCACAATTTCAACAATCCCAAAAAGACGATTAGTGGTGCAAACATGGATATTTGAACCACTAGAAATTGACCCTATTTTGGGCTTTTGTCAAATCTTTAAATCTAAATGATGTGTCAGGTGATACAGTAGTGACATAGTATCATGTCTCCTTTATCCTGAACAGTTGACAAAGCTAGGCTTAGGAAAGTCCTTTGCAAAGTAGTGACATTTATCTCAGTAATGCTATCAACATGTAAAGCACTTATGAGCAGGATGCATTGCAATAAAGAAGGTCAATTATGAAGATATCCTTTTGGAATCTAGCCCACACCTTGACCAGCTTATAGAACTGGAACTGTATCCAGAACATGAGGTGAAAGAAGAAAACATGTTTTTATTTCCCAATAATACTGTGCCTCTGAGCAAGCTCTTTATCGTGAATATACAAAAAGCTTCAAATCAGCTTTAATACTGTCGAAGCGCATAACCATTTTTTTGCAATTGTGTAAATACTTTCAATTACTAAAATGTTCTATAAAAAACACATGACTGACATCTTTAGTACAAAAGCCGACTGTTTGAGTCGGATGATGGTTTTAAATCCATTCACACACATGTCGCAGTACGCCTGTGTGCAGAGACAGAAGCAGCTTACAGGAGAACTAAGCCTGAGCACGTCTGCATCAGAAACCTCTATATTATATTTATCTGCTTGTTCTCAGCTTGTCTTTACAAGTAAGATTTTGTGTTTACTATCCCAAGCCACTAAGAATGTCCACTATTTAAATGTCAAACCCACGGAATATGCAAGGGGATAAGTCCATTATCTTTGGTACCAGTTCTGTTAAGTTTCATCTAGCAACATACTAGAAACTGGATCACTGCCCTGTTATATGATTTGATTTTAACAGTGGAGGTCAGCATTCCTCATTTCGAGACTCCGTCCAATTTTGACCTATATTTCTTTCACATTTTTGAGCTTAAGATCAATTTAGTGCTAATATAGTTAGGTTTATAAAAAGATTTAGCAGGCAGAACTAAGCATTCAAGTTGATGACAAAAACAGTGTTGATTCAGTCTAGAAGGATAAACCCATGAGATGTATCATCTCGTTTACAAGGCATCCCAGCATTTCACAAAGTGAAGCTTCTTGGGAGGTACGTACCAAAATAAACAAGTAAAACAAATATATTTTCCAGGTCTATTGTTTTTTTATCTGAAACATCAACAAGTCAATATTCAAATCATGAAATGTTCAAAGCGACAGTAATAGTGCATGTTATCAGATGAAAGAGAGAATGGGAGGAAAGTAAACAGACTTGGGAGCTCCAAAGTGAATAAAATAACCTCTGAAGCAGCCACAGCTCCACAGAACATAAAGACAGGCAAAGGAAGAAAGGATGAAAAAGAAAGCGCATGATGAGGAGGAGAAGAGAAAAGAGCACAGTACCTTTCACTCTAATGTCCGGGTTGTGAGCTTTAAGGGAGGAGGGAAAAGAAGAACAGATGGATAGAAAAATAGCGTTTAGTCCAGAAAAATAGGCCAGTGATCCAACCAGTGATCATCTGATCACAATGAGTGAAGAGCAGAGAGAGGTAGAAATGTTAACGACAAGAACAGAGAAATAAAGACAGATAAAGAGGTTCTGGTGCATTCCTCTGAGAACACTCATAAGTACTAGAATTATATAGTCTAAAAGCACATGCTGAAATAGAAAGACAGCCAATTAATGAATGTGGAAATAATTCTAGTTAGGTCTCCGTAACGAGATGTAAATGTGATGGTAGAGAGGACAGTCTGTCCAATGCAGAGCTGCTGGACCAGCAGAGGATTTCCCCTCATCGCACTGTTGTTATGCTCTAAGTGTGTGTGTGCCGTGTGTGTGTGTGTGTGTGTGTGGGTGTCTAAATAACCCAAACCAATTTGCAACTCTTTCCCAGCAATACTTCAGCTGGTTTGGTGGTCTGCTTGGCCCCAATATCATGTTTCAATGTTTGACTGTTACATCCCAACAGGAAGGGGGTTTTCAAGTTGCCATGGTTACTCACTTAAAATGACAATCCTTTTTACAGTACTGTTGCTACAACGCACCTTCTATCAACCCTGAGAACCAGCTCTTCTTGACTGGTTTACTTTTAAAGTAAAGATGTTATCGTTCATTCTAAAGCACCACCTTTATTCTCTCTGGAAAAAATATCTTTCATCATTTATGTCCGTAATAGAGTCCTCAAAGCTGTTAATCTCGCTTGTCTTTCAGCTGGTTGTTTTGAATTCACAGCAAAAACATAGTGTTTGGGTTCAGAACAGTGCTCTCATAAACTTTGTTTCAAGCAGCAGCCGGCAGCTGTCTTATACCTCATTCACACCAACGCAACTCCGATTCAAGCTCCGTGCTAGAGCTTTTGAGGTTCAGAACCAGTTCTTCGGTTTAGCTCTGGCTCTTTTCACACCGCCCAGAGTCCGACTGGTAATGCGTCGTTGCGTCATCGTTTGCATCATGACGTAACCGTTTGCGTGCCTGCTTCATAAAGCCAAACCGCGCGGATGAAATCAGTTGCATTCATTTCTTATGGCTCTATCTGCAGCTTTTCCGGAGTCATTTCTGTGGTTTAGTTATATTCTTATAAAAAAGTGTACTCGTGTCAATAAAGGTTTTTTTAAAACACAACTGCTTCCGAGGTCGGTCTTATTTCTTAAGGTGGACTGAACCATGAGTGTGGAGTAACGTTGTATCTTTCATTTAAATGAACTGTAACCTTCACCCAGGTATGTAACAGCTGTTCGTGAAAAGGCTCTGATGGTACATGACCAGCCCAGCAGCAAACAGCAGTCACTGCATTAAGCAGATATCCTGGCTAAGGAGCTGGGAGCTACGAGGATAGTGAGTTTGAGACTAACCTTTCATTGTAAGATTGTATTAATATACATTTTGAAGCAACAGTTACAGGCACTCATAACCAGTGGCGAGTCGTCAGGGCCCTAAGATATTCTAAAAAATAATTTTTGAAAACGTAAAAAAACAAACATTATTTTTGTAGTGATATTTTTCATTAGTTTTACCAAAATAACTTGATTTAATTGTATTTAACATAACATTTCCAAAGAAATAAATCCTTCGAATCTGCCTGTTCAGTTTCTGTTTGAATGTGAAGGGTTAAATGAAAGAAGCTCGTCTCTGCGAGTTATGTGAAGACAGGAGCTGATTGGTGGTCCAGCTATGAATTTACTGAGGGTTCAGCTGTAGTTGTCACTACCCGATCTGCAGCTCTGCCCGATCTGCAGTGCGCATGTGCCAGATGGTCCGCCATATTGGAGAACTCCGGACGGCAACCCAAGAAGGACACTTGACACAGTGGCTTTTGGCAAAGCTCAAAAAGAAAACTCGAGAGAGATGAGTTATTGTTATTACAACGTGACTTCACTATTATTTAACAACTCTTTTTATTGGGTTCTTTTATTTGGGGTTAAGTACATTGTCAGAATAAGTGAGAAATTGATTTAACTTCTGTTAGACAGCTATCATACTGAATACATATTTACTGTGAATGTGTGCAAAAATGTATGGCATATGTCTAACAGAAGTTAAATCCATTTCTCACTTATTCTGACAATGTACTTAACCCCATTAAAAGAACCCAATAAAAAGAGTTGTTAAATAATAGTGAAGTCACGTTGTAATAACAATAACTCATCTCTCTCGAGTTTTCTTTTTCAGCTTTGCCAAAAGCCACTGTGTCAAGTGTCCTTCTTGGGTTGCCGTCCGGAGTTCTCCAATATGGCGGACCATCTGGCACATGCGCACTGCAGATCGGGCAGAGCTGCAGATCGGGTAGTGACCAAGCCCCCAGGAAGTGCGCCGGAGTCTGATGAGAATATTCGTGATGGTCAAACGGTGGTACTACACTTCCTTTAGGTTGCTGGGCCCGGAAAAACTTTTTCCCATTGACTTACATTGGGAAAGAGTGGTCTGTAACTCGTTGGATAATTTTTTTTAAACTAAATAAACTACCCAGTATGAACACTTGTATAGCCCTTATTAAAAACATTCGTTCCTCAAGTTGTAAAAATGTGCTAATAACGTTATTTTGAGAGTTATTTCCCTCTGCATTATGAACGCGCATCTAACCCACGGGACCGCGCCGCCCGGCACGTTCATGTTACGTGTTCAGTACTACATGAGTTTCTCTTTACCCATGGATGCACAATAACAACGGACCCACGGACCTTACTGCCAGCCCACGGAGCTGTAATAATGGATATATTGCACATGTTTGCTGTAATTCATCATTTGTAAAATATTATACTACATGGGCTGTATGATGTAAATCTTGTACCGTAAATGTTGTATTAAATAAAGTTAATATTACCGATGTAGATTAACGTTCCTGTAGCTTCTTATTGCACTTGCAATTGTTTTAGTTACTTGTGGGCTACTTAACATGAATAATCACAGTTACTATCCTTTCACTCCATCACATTTCAAACATAAATAGGCTATTGTTATTTTAACTCCACCACAGTAATCCATCATCAGCTTTACTTTTTAGATAAAGTTTTAACTCACAATTGATCATAACAGGCTTCAACTTATACATTTGTATATATTACCAAGTGGTTTCATGTAGGCTACAACCCACACAAGCTCTATTGCTTGGATATCACTAGATCCTGATGTCAGCGTAATATAAAAGTACATAACGATTGATGTGTAACTTAGCATAATTTACTAGCTAGCCGCTAGCTGCTAACTGCCGCCTTGTTAATATAAATCCAGTACCATGCTGTCATGAACGCGCGGTGCTGTTACGTGTACGCAAATTCACGTGCTTAATGTGAACGAGCCTTTTGGGCGGGGTGGTTAAAGTTGCGCATGCTCGATGAGTGCACATACGGGTACTTCTCAGGCATGCCGGGTAATCTGTGATGTTTTGCTCTCTCAAAAGTTGGGCCATTTTGTCATCATGCGCCATTGAGCAACTCTCATAGGAATGAATGAGGCCCCGCCTCCCACGCTGTATCCAGTTCTTATTATACATCCATGGTAGTGACAATAGTAACTCAACGAGAGAGTGATGTCAAATGACAGTACAATTGACCAATCATATCTTCCCTCTAAATGGGCGGGCTTTATTTTCGCGGACTTTATGACAAGTTCCGCCTGCTGTGAAGTTTATGCAAGTGGTGCAGTGACGCGTCCTAAACCCCGGAAGTAAGTTTCGCTCGGATTCCCTCGACAGAAAGCAGTGGGATTTCTCCATAGGGTTTTGGAAAATAGCTGGAAATAAGGTCTGTGGAAAACGAACCTGTTAGGTAAATGCACGTTTTGTTCAGCCTGATAATATCCACATGTCTACCCTGCTTTTATTATTTTCTAATCATAAATCTAATCGATAGATTTATGATCCATAGATTTATGATTAGCACAAGTTCGTTCATGATGGCTCATGTCAGTGATAGTGATGACATCGTTGCGAAATTAGTCAGGTATCAAAGTCACGGCTCACCACTGCTCATAACAACATTACAAAGTGTTGCTTCCTATCAACAAACGCAGGATTATCCTTGTTTTCACTTGTTTCAAGCTTGAGTGATTATGAACACAACCTGGATCTCCTTTTTACCATTGAAACTGTCGTAGCTCGAGTGTTATTGGAAGACATTGATAATCAATACAAACTGGCATACCCATGTAATTAGCAGCAACATTTCCACTTATCACATTCTTGCAGTAGCTATAAAGAACAGAGACTGTAATATATCTGTCATGGGTTCAGAAAGTCCTATCACTGAAGAAGGGTCGGTGCATCCACTAACAAACTGTCTGTTTTGTAGGTTTCTTGAAGGTGTGTACACAGTAAATACCTCACAGTAAATCGCCTGCATTAAATACCCCACGTTTGAATGTCTGAAGTTTCTATAAAAACAGAGGTTGCAAACACGTGACTTAATGCAACCACTAAAAATCATCATGCTAAATAAATGTGCCACCTTTAGTTTAGTGGTGGTGATGATCAGCCATGTGACCGTGGAAAACTGAAAACTAAAGGAAGTGAGTCATCAAGCAATGCTCGATTATAGTACGAACTGTATTCCCTTTACAGTGCAATCTGGATTCCCAAAGGAAAACACATCCATCCAGAAACCAGTGACAAGTCAAATGCTAGCATGGAATAAACTCCATGTGTGTGCATACTGAGTGACATCGAAGTTGTGTGTGTGTGTGTGTGTGTGTGTGTGTGTGTGTGTGTGTGTGTGTGTGTGTGTGTGTGTGTGTGTGTGTGTGTGTGTGTGAATTATCTACTCACCAATATTGCAGTGCTCCCCTGTCCATCCTTGGTCACACTCACACTTGCCCTCCTTACACACTCCGTTCTTGCTGCACAGTGGGTGGCAGGCCTTCTGGTCACACACACTTCCTGTCCAGCCCTCCTCGCATCGACACACACCGCCGTAACACATGCCATGGCTGCCACAGTCCACTTCACACACCTCTGTAGGAGAAAGAAATAAAACATCAATGCACATGCAAACAAGTTCAATGGTACCTGCAGTACGGCCTGCATCGATTACTTTGGGGAACACGGTCACCAATACTGTACATTGAAAAGCATTCTAAAGAAGCATTGTAAAGAAAACTATATACATGGATTTCAAAACATCACGACTGTCATGTTTGTACCAATCTGAGTGTGTGGTTGTGAGTGTGTTTGCATGTTTAAGACAAAGAACAAGATAACGAACAGGCCAGGACAAAGGGAACATACGTGTGTGTGTAGTATATTTGTATTTGTATGCATATGTGTTTTATAGTGCGGCTGGATGTGTGTTTATTCGTTTTAACAAGACAATACTCAGCCAACGGCTATGACACACACTACTGAAAACATCTGGCCTTGCACACACACTACTGAAATACTCTCACATTCACGATTGAACACCTCACACACACACACAACTGAAAATTAAACCTCACGCACTTACTACTGAAAATTAACCTCACACACACACAACTGAAAATTAACCACACACACACACACACTACTGAAATACTCTCACATTCACGATTGAACACCTCACACACACACACAACTGAAAATTAAACCTCACGCACTTACTACTGAAAATTAACCTCACACACACACAACTGAAAATTAACCACACACACACACACACTACTGAAATACTCTCACATTCACGATTGAACACCTCACACACACACAACTGAAAATTAAACCTCACGCACTTACTACTGAAAATTAACCTCACACACACACAACTGAAAATTAACCACACACACACACACACTATTGAAATACTTTCACATTCACTACTGAACACCTCATACACACACAACTGAAAATTAAACCTCGCACACACACTACTGAAAACATCTGGCCTTGCACACACACTACTGCAATACTCTCACATTCACTACTGAACACCTCACACACACACAACTGAAAATTAAACCTCACACACTTACTACTGAAAATTAACCTCACCCAGTTGTGTGTGTGTGTGAAGTGTTCAGTAGTGAATGTGAGAGTATTGCAGTAGTGTGTGTGCAAGGCCAGATGTTTTCAGTAGTGTGTGTGCGAGGTTAGTTTGAATTTTGGCCTACACGGCTCTTCATAAACGGCAACACAGATAGAAGTGAGAACACACTCACACACACACACAAACTGCTTTCCTGGTCTTTGTTTTTATGTCAAGCCATATGCTACTGATCTGCATTCCTCCTCCAACTTTCTCTATCCCTCCTCCTTTTCAGCTCCAATGCTGTCACTTGTCTTCTCGGTCTCAGTTTCTCTCCCCATTATCTTCCCTTCTGCAGCCCCACACCACCGAATAAGAGACGGTCCTTTGCAGGACAAAGATAACACTGGCCATTGGTTCAAACAACCAAAAAACAACTTATGCAAACGTTTACTGACAAGCAACCTCTTATAGCAGTGTACATTATGACTCATATCAGAGGAGCCAAGACGGAAAACATATGCAACATATTTTAATGTCACAAATACTGTGACTTTTCTCCTTCAGGGAGAAGATCAGTGTGGATGCGTGTTTTCTCTTTTTCCTTGTTTGTTATCCATTCCTTACTGATGGTGAACGTTGAATTCCTTTAAGCCCCTGTCACACTGTCCCGAAATTGACACCCGATGGACACACGATAAAGGAAATGTTCAAATTCGGCTATGATCGTAGCAACATCGGGCCATTCGTGAGGGCATCTTAAGCCATCGTATGACCGCCGGTGGAGTTTCTCAGGCTCCGGCAGCAACTTCGTGAGCGGCAACTTCGTAAGGCACTCGTGAGGGCATCTTGTCAAATCGTGTCATCTTCGTGTTATCATCGGTGCATTCACCCTCACTCTGATCGGGGCGAATGCCCGATGGCACCGATGATAACAAGATGCCCTCACGATGGCCTTACGAAGGGCAAAATTGACACACAAATTCAATACGAAAATGAACCTTCTCAAGGTCCTTCGGCAATTTTTTGGCATGCCAAAGATTTTGCCACCGCTCACGAAGTTGCTGCCGGAGCCTGAGAAACTCCACCGGCGGTCATATGAAGGCTTAAGATGCCCTCACGAATGGCCCGATGTTGCTACGATCACAGCCGAATTTGAACATTTCCTTTATCGTGTGTCCATCGGGTTGTTTTATTGCACAACAAAATCATGTAAATATATTATGTAAATAACCCAATTTGTGTTCTGTGAAACTAAAAAGGATATAATATATTATTTTGAAGGACAGTTGACAGGAAGTTGTTGTTGAAACAACATTACGGAGAAAACGTAATATTTTCTACATATAACGACGGATAAAGTAAAGAACAAAGTCTGAAGATATCAGTACAGTATCATAGTACTGTAACATAATTGTTTTTGGTACTTTCATTGCAGTTGTATGTCTTAAATGTAATGTAAATGTTGCCTTCGTGTGTGGTTCGGGGCCATCTTCGTGCGAAATTCACAATTCCATATTCGTGTGTCCATCGGGTGTCAATTTCGGGACAGTGTGACAGGGGCTTTAACCGTCACCATGATCTTTCTCTGACCTTAAAGTATTCTCATGTTGTGTCATGTCTGGTACTCAATGTTTGGAGGTTTACTTACAAAATGTTATACGTTACAATAACTAGAGCTCTGACATTTTTTTAAAATTAAATCTCCATCTCTACATGTATAGCAGCCATTAAATTCCAGTGTGTGTTAAACTTTATTCATTTTACTCAAACACATACCTATACATTATAAAACCAGATAAACTCATAATGCTGCAGGGGACTTTTTCCAGAGCTGTAGTTACAAGTCAAAAATGTAATCAGTGACCTAATCTGTGTTTCAAAATATCAAAGTAATGTAACCTGATTACATTCTGTTACCTTTGGATTACTTCTATATTAAATGCAATGCAAATAAAAACAACAGAAAATAAATAACAATTAGATGTTTTACTTAAGTGTATGTAACAATGTAACCTTAGAAATCAGGTAACCAAGATATTTCATATCAAAATCTAGTAATCTGATTACTTCTTTCACGTAATCTCGTCACATGTAATCCGTTACTCCCCAAGCCTGCTGGTTCTACTTTTTGCTTTGTGTTTCTGTGCTGCCCATCTATACACCTCCTCTGAATCAGTGTCATTGGTCTTCCAGCCAATCAGCTCCTTCCTCGCTCCGTGTTTTCCAGCCTCTTTAGACAGTCTGTCATGGCCTTATTAGTTTCACCTGTCGCCCATTAGCCCTGCCCACCTCACCCCCTGCACTTCAATCCCTCATCTGATTAGTTTGTAAGTTATGGTTTTTAAATGGATTCTCAGTTAGCTTCTAGTATTGCTTCCCTTGAAAAATAACCATTTGATCTAACTCAACTACAAAGACCTTCAACATGCATCAGCCAGACTGTTGTGCTGGCTCTTCCTCTGTGGAGAGGAGCAGCAACCACAGCAGGGGGCACAAACTGTAAGTCATCTTGAGCCCATAGAACATGAGGACCTGGAACAGTACACATCAGCGGTCCTGGGATACATCAAGCATTGTTCAGACTCCGTCACTGTGGATAAGCACATCCGGGTTTATCCCAACAAGAAGCCGTGGATGACTGGAGAGGTGCAGCGCCTGGTCAGGGAGAGGGACATCGCCTTCAGGACTGGTGAGAGGGAGCTGTACAGCACTGCCAGAGCCGACTTGAAGCGGGGGATCAAGACGGACTACAAGGGGAAGATTGAGGACTGCTTCCGGGGCAACGACTCCAGGCGGGTGTGGCAGGGGGTCCAGCAGATGACCAACTACAAACCCAGCCACCCCTCGGCCGACGGGGGTGACCCTCAGCTGGCGGAGGAGCTGAACTCCTTCTATGCCCGCTACGAGGCGGGGCTATCGGAAGCAACCACACCATTACACCCACCTGCCCTCAGCAGCCTCATCCTCACGGAGCACGAGGTGAGACGCACACTGAAGGCAGTGAACCCGAGGAAAGCAGCGTGGCCGGACGGAGTCTTGGGACGGGTGCTGAGAGACTGCGCTAACCAGCTGGTGGGGATCTTCACCAAGATCTTCAACCAGTCCCTGTCCCAGGCCATCGTCCCATCCTGCCTGAAAACATCCACAATCATCCCGGTGCCGAAAAAGAACAACATTGGCTGCCTAAATGACTACCGTCCAGTGGCACTCACCTCCACCCCCACTAAAGTTTTTGAGAAGGTGGTCTGTGCCCACATCGTCTCATCCCTCCTTCCCGGTCTGGACCCCCACCAGTTCGCCTACAGGGCCAACAGGTCCACGGAGGACACCATCGCCACAGCTCTCCACTCTACCCTGTCTCACCTGGAGAGTAGGGCAAGCTACGCACGGATGCTCTTCGTGGACTTCAGCTCGGCATTTAATACCATCCTCCCTGACAGACTGGTGACCAAGCTATCAGTCCTGGGAGTATCCCATTCCTTGTGTCTATGGATTAAGGACTTCCTGTCTGATCGCACCCAGAGAGTGAGGATAGGCACCCACACCTCGACATCCCTCAGTCTCAGCACCGGGTCACCACAGGGCTGCGTGCTGAGCCCCCTACTATACGCCCTCTACACCTATGATCTCGTCCCCGCCCACACCAGCAACTCCATCATAAAGTTTGCTGATGATACCACCGTGGTGGGCTGCATCTCAGGGGATGACGAGACTGCGTACATGGACGAGGTGGAGCAACTGTTAGCGTTGTGCAAAGTAAACAACCTGCAGCTGAACAAGCTGAAAACCCAGGAAATGATCATTGACTTTAGGAGGAAGAAGACCGACATGCAGCCCCTGTACATTGATGGAGGCTGTGCGGAGAGAGTCTCAGTGATCAAATTCCTGGGCGTTCACCTGGCGGAGGACCTATCCTGGAGGACCAACACCACGGCAACCGTCAAGAAGGCACAGCAGATACTCTACTTCCTGAGAATACTCAAGAGATACCACCTCAGACAGGACCTGCTTGTGTCCTTCTATCGCTGCGCCGTGGACAGCATCCTCACCTACTGCATCTGCGTGTGGTTCCTCAGCTGCACAGCCGCAGAGTGCGCTCTAAAGAGTCATCAACTCGGCCCATAAAATCATCGGTTGCCCCCTCCCCTCCCTGGAGGTACTGTACAGCTCTCGTTGCCTTAAGAAGGCAGTCAAAATCCTCAAGGATCCACACCACCCGGGTAACGAGCACTTTGTACGGCTGCGCTCAGGCAGGCGCTTCTGTACCATGTCTTCCCGGACAAAGACAGACTCAAATTCAGTTTTTTTCCCAGGGCACTAAATGCTGCTAATATTTAAATTATATAAGTCTTCCGTGCAATACGAGGGGAATCGTGCAATTTAATTTATTATTTATTTATGCACATATTTACGGAGCCCTGGAGGGTTCATAGAGAGAAAAATAAATAAAACGTGGCCGTGTGTGTGTGTGTGTGTGTGTGTGTGTGTGTGTGTGTGTGTGTGTGTGTGTGTGTGTGTGTGTGTGTGTGTGTGTGTGTGTGTGTGTGTGGGCATTTGTTTATGATAGTATATCGTTCGTTCCGGTGCACTCCGGCAGGACTATAGCACATCGAGATTAAGATTAAACAAATGTATTTCACTTGGGAATATACTTAACTATGGAGAACCAGATTTGTGTAAATTACTGTTCGTGGTAATTTGAAAACAAATGCCGGTGGTGTCGGACACACACGAACACAGAGCGGAGCTGATCACACACACACACATACACACACATCATGCGCCCCGGTGATAGGACATCTCCTTCATAAAACGAGGGGGAATACTCTGGTAGTTCGATGTGTGTAGAGGTGTGTGTGGTTAAACGTAGCAGCCTTGATCTCTATTCAGCGGTTCTAATGAAGGGAAACGCAGTGAAGTAAACAGTAAAAGGCACAGCTCTTTGCAGCTGGTGCTGCCCTTCTCAGATTCTGCTGAGTTACACGTTACTGCCTCCAGTGCCCTGTACGACGAAGCCAGTTCAACAGACCCTGGATATGGTTGATTTACCCGGCTTAACTGACCCTAACAAACGCGATGTCGCTAAGCGGTCCTACGAAGCTGGTTATCAACTCAGTAAATCAACCAGGGTTTCTCTGTCCGGCTGAGAGCGCGTTCACGTGAAAGGGACGGGGTTAGCAACATTTGACCAATCACAAACATGGAGACGCGTGTTGACAGCGCAGCGTCATACTTCATGAATGAATAGTGTAAATAGCAAATCCTGCTTCGTAGTACAGGCCACGTAACGCTTTTAACAAGTTAATAAAGCGTGGCCTCATTGTATTTAAAACGTGGCCACGCTTTACATCTCGTGCGCACAAGTTAATAAAGTGTGGCCACGTTTTATTTATTTTTCTCTCTATGAACCCTCCAGGGCTCCGTACATATTCCCTATCATGTCTATTTAAGTCCCATTTCTTGTTTTTATAGTTTCTTGTTGTTTTTATATTGTCTTGTTGCGTGTTGGCACCTTGAGTTCATTGTAATTTCGTTATACCTGTACAATGACAAATTAAAGATCTATCTATAATACTCTTATGTTGGCTTCATTGGCTGCAGGTTAGTTTATAAATGGATCTGGAGATGTTAAGGATGTAACTGGCCTTAACGTGTTTCAGCCCCCAGCGCTGTCTCTGACCTTGCACCTACTCACAAGTGGAAGTTTGATGTCCTCAAGCAAGGTTTTCCTGGCCCAGCTATAACACTTTAGTTCTTTATATCACACCTTAGAATTATGTCCTTGTCAAATCGTCATCGCCTGAAGTCTTCAGTTGTTTCACCAGCCATGTCTGCCATCTTTATGGCTGTTCCTAGGGGCTCGCATAATGAACACTGTTCTCTTAATTATGTTCTGCTCCTTGACTGCTTTTTGTTTTATTTAGCGCTTATACTTTATACTCTCAATGATTCTGTAAATCACTATATCAACTATTTTAAATTAGGTGGGATGCTGCTCAAACAAATGCTTAAAACATGTGTATCATTGTAGTATATTTCTATATATTTCTGTGCAGTGGCGTAACAAGGTTGTGATTGGCCCCGGTGCAAATATTGTTTTGGGGCCCCCCCCCCCATCGCCCAAAACATGCAGGCTGATGCGCTCACACACGCACGGACACACACCACCACTCATAAGCGCCACATGTAGGCTATCAACAACAGCCTGCCCTGGCCTCAGACCACCACAGCCTGACAACGGCACCGCGAACTAATCACACATAATCGAGATTTCGAGGACGATGTATGACAAAAAAAACGGTCTAATTTTGTCAGTTTAGCTGTTACATCTCCTTGTTCTCTCTTGTCCTTTCTCTTTTGAGCGCCACTCTTGTGCTTTGGCTTGCTGTACATTATAAATGCAAGCTATTCAATTTTTTAGAATGTTGCCGAAATTGCTGCTGCTAGCTACAGTACCTATAACTTTTGAGGTTGATTAAACGGTTTGCTCGTCACGCAAGGTATCACATGACATGAAAGGGAGCAAGGTCATTAGACAGACAAATTACAAATAAATGTATGTTGCTTGGTCACTTTGAAGACTGCGTGAACCGGTCAATGCCATTGGGGCCCACAAAAACAAATCTATATATAAAAAAATAAATAATAAAACAAATTATCTTTTTTTTAGCATGGGCCCCTGGCCGGCTCTGGGCCCCGGTGAGTTGCACCGGCTGCACTGTCGATAGTTACGCCACTGTTTCTGTGGCTTTGTGAGATTGTATAGTGTTATAATGAATACTCAATGTATTCAATTGTTTACGTTATGTCGTGTTTTATTGATTTACTCTAGTGATATATGTCCTTTCTATTGTGAAGGAGTATGTTTGCTGCGAATGTTAATTTCACATTTGTATTACATTTTATCTTATTGTATCTTTTAAATATGTGTAACTTGTGTAATGCTCAACAACACTGCTGCTCTGCTGGGACAAAATGTGTTTGCAATTGTGGCTGAATAAAGTATCTATGTATCTATGTAGATGTTATAAGAAATGAGCCAAATGGAAAGAGCTCCTTCACACTGACAGACATTGAACGCGTAACACACCTAGAGAGCAGTCGGGCCCGGTCCAGTTCTGGTCGCAGCTGCAGGTGCTGGTCTCTGCGTTGTGAGTGCCGTGGCCCGAGCACTGATCAGGACACATGGCCTTAGCTATCTCACAGCTGGCCCCCCCCCAGCCCGGCTGACAGTGACACTCTCCGTGAATACACACACCGTGAGCCGAGCAGCTGGGGTCGATGCAGTCCACTGCAGGCAGAGAGAGGAAGAGGGGGGTTATACGGTATACACACACACATTAACATTTAACATCTGTGTCCACTAGAGGGCAGCGAACAAGCTTAGACTCTGACTGTAGTCGAGACTGAAGTCCAAGATGATTTGTTCAGGCTCCACAAAGATATATTTATTTTAGGATGGTTAAAGCTTTGGAACCATAAGCATCATTATGGTTTAAACTAAGTTTGGAGAAATGGAGTTGAAGAAAAGTTAAAGTGTGTTTTTGTGGTCACCTTGATCCAATGCAATATTTTTTAGATCAACACTGCTTCAGACCCACTGAGATGCACTTCTCTGAGGTGTCCGCTGCTTTAGGCTCAGCGTTTGCTGTTAAAGTGAAGGAGTGGCTGGGGAATAAACTCCAAAACCTAGAAGGATCATCAAACCTATTCTTAAACATTAGTGATTAATGTTCTTTCCACGACATGATTGAGTTTTACCGTTTGCCTCAGTAAGGCTTACACAAGAATAGCTTTGACTGTGTTCCTTGACAAATGACTGCGGTGTCATCTCTTTGTTGTGCAGTCAGTTACAAACAGCACAGGACACAAATGGATAGACTCACAGATTTTGAACATTGATGATGATGATTGTTATTTTACTGGTTTTCTCTGAATAAAGAGAAAATAACATATGCATTAGAATACTTTAATAAATATACAATCAATCGAAATGTATGGCTACTGTGTAAATAATATATTAATTTGGACTGAAAACCGCCCGGCCCCCCCTCTCCTTTCTTGCTCTTTAGAATCACTGGCCTTTCTTCTGTGATTATGCCTTGTGGCTGTATACTAAAGTAATATGTAGCATGAAAGCTTCATTCAAAAACTTGACAATCAAATCACTAACATTAATAATGTAGGAGTCTCAACAGAACACACACACACACACACACACACACACACACACACACACACACACACACACACACACACACACACACACACACACACACACACACACACACACACACACACACACACACACACACACACACACACACACACACACACACACACACACACACACATTGTCTTTTATACGCACTCACAAAGGATTAGTGTGATCGAGGATTTCACTAATCTGAAACTAATCTGGCTACTGTCCCCTGTGATATATGCTTGTATGTGTGTGTGTGTGTGTGTGTGTGTGTGTGTGTGTGTGTGTGTGTGTGTGTGTGTGTGTGTGTGTGTGTGAGAAAGAGAGATGGATTAGAGTTAATTAATTTAGCATTTAGTGGTAATGCTGTCTAAACAAACTAGCTGTCAGTAGCTAGGGTTGGTTTCAGCAGATACGTCCATAAAGTCATTGGGATTATTGCTTGTAAACTTTATAAAATGACTTCAACCTGCAGTACATGGACCTGAGGACAGTACATGGACCTGTGGTGAGTACAGTACATGGACCTGAGGACAGTACATGGACCTGTGGTGAGTACAGTACATGGACCTGTGGACAGTATATGGACCTGAGGACAGTACAGTACATGGACCTGAGGACAGTACATGGACCTGAGGACAGTACAGTACATGGACCTGAGGACAGTATAGTACACAGACCTGAGGACAGTACATGTCCAGAGTTAATAACATGAGGGGATTCACAAAACCTCCAGTTTTTCCTTCAGGCATTACACATCATTATTCACCCAGATTATGGAAAAACGTTCCTGATAAACAGTACAGCAAAATGTGACATCTAAACCACGACTATTTCTAAAGTTTAGCAATAAATGTTTGCTAAATAAAATATTTATGGTGATATTTGATCATGGAGTCAGGTCTTAATCCCTTTCCAATATCCATGATGTAAAACGATGCAGAGCAGTGTAAAATGGTATTTACATCTGCTTCAACACAATATCTGTTCTTTATTCTAACCTTCCTCACAGCTGTGTGCTGGTTTTTATTTAGCAGTAGACTCCCTGCTTCTGTGAACAGTTGTCTCAATGTCTTTACTGGATCATATTGTCCTTTCTCACAGAACATCTAATCTTAGTGTCAGTTTTACCATGGAATCTATTTCACACTTTACTGTCCTGAAGGTGGAATCCTCTCTGATCTGCAATAGCTTCTTTAGTCTTTTCATGTTTGCTCCTTTTCAAGCGTTTGGTGATTCAAGCCCTATTCACACATTGAATACATAACAGTGCTGGCTCCATCAATCTGGTAAAACTAGGGCATTATGTCATTATTTTATAAAAGCCAATGAACAACACACAATTGGATTGCCGGATATTAAGTTGGGAGTACTAAAATGTAACATGATGCAGAGCAGTGTTAGAAGGGTGTTATCATCTCACAACATCTGTTCTTTACTCTTACCTTCCTCACAGTTATCGCCCTTATAGCCGGTGTTGCAGATGCAGGCTCCCACGATGCAGATGCCGTGTCCTCCACAGTGGATGTCAATGCACTGGTTGACCGGCACATCACACTCAGTGCCTTTCCAGCCGCTGTAGCACTGGCAGCGGCCGCGGGAGTACTGGCCGTTCCCACTGCAGAGCACCGGGCAGGCGGCTGCAGGGAGGAGCACGTCAGATACAGATCCTCTACTTCAATCAGTCAGAGGACACATGACTCTCCCAACAGTCACTGCCTCTCTATAGATGAGAGCAACCCATCCGGGCACTTTCCCTCTACGTCATGGCCCACCGCTTTTTGGGTGCAGACATCTGCTGTCATGTGACTGGTACAGATTCTGATGTTTTCTCCAATAACAGCGGAATACAATAATACTGTGCCTTTTGTATCTACAAGGAGCGCAATTACAATGGTCAGACAGGAAAACAAATACATCATAATATTGGATGTCGGTGATCGGCGTGGATTTATGGTTTAATTTAAATCAATAGGCGATGGATGTCCGGTTAGTCTGCTGGTGGACGAGTGTCAGGCAGCAGCTCACACTGAAACTAGATTATATGTTAATGCAGCAGCCACAGTCACTACTTCTGACTATTGTTTGAGGTGCAATAAGGGACAGAGCAGCTTTTAGGCATAATGAAACTATTGTTGTCTCCCATCTATAGGTGGCATAGTGTTTGTGTGTTTACCTCGAGAGCAGTCAGGCCCTAGGAATCCTGGGAAACAGTGACATATTCCTGAGAGACAATCCCCGTTTCCATGACAATTCTGAGGACACTCCATAATCGACTCTGATTAAGATGAAGCGAGAGTGAGAGAGAGAAAGAGGGAAAAGGAGATAGAGAGGTGAGTTAAGGGTGTAAGTTCATTGGGTGGACTGGATGTGTAACTGTAAATAACAAGCACCATACACCGGCCCTCACTGGTTGCTATAGTTACAGCCAGTCAGTCCAATCAACACTTTCTAACATCCCATTATTGCGCTGCCTTCTTCCTGCTCAAGCTCTCGCTTTCTATTACACACCACTGCTGGCTCTACTGGGTCTGTTTTGCAGACTGGTGTTATAATTATAAAGTTATTATGTGAATTACTGTAATGACAAGCTGCCACATTAATAACGTTCTCTTGTATTGTCTGTGTAGTCAGTAACTCTTTCAGTCATCACTGTGAACACACACCCCCCCCTCACCTATAGCGATAGTGTTATAGGAGACTTGTTCTGTGTTGCGCCCGTCGTTGTACATGGCCAGGTGCCAGATCCCCGTGTCCAGGTACTGGATGAAGCCGGCCCCGTGCACGTTCACAGAGCGTGTGTGTCGGGCCCCCCCTGCGGACCCCTCCTCGTGAGCATGTCCTGCATCCGTGTCACTGAGCGACCGCTTGTCTTTGGAAATGAGGCGGCTGCCGTCCAGAAGCTCCACAAAGTCGTACTGAAAGACAAAAATACACAAGAAAACATTAGGATTATATATTTTACAAACAAACAAGTACTTCAAGGCAAACAGATAAGTATCCCAGACAGTGGTCTAGATAAAGGAACTGTGGTCAGTCTAACAGTCCATATTAATAACTGGCCATATTTCAATTCAGTATCTTATGATTATTTATGACAGCCAGAGCATTATGGAATATGGCAACCCTGACCTTTGATCTCGGACATCTGTCAACTTATTAAACCCATATGGTCCATATCTTAATCACTATTGAATGGATTTCCATGAAATGTGTTGTTGGTATATATGTTTAAAGTTTAATTCCTGATTAAACACACACACACACACACACAGAATATGGAGTTAAAGTTAGCTGACTATAGCTCTTATGACTTTAGTTTTATTTATAAATGTTAATTGATTCTGTCTGTGTGTTGATAGTTATATTATTTTAATATTTTAATATGATAAAACTCAGTTAAACAGCATGCATTAACAGTAGCAACAGATGTTATTATGCGCTCATTAGCATCATTCCTATTTTAAAATGTTCAAACTAAATGTCTACTTTTTCCTTAACAGAAAAAAACAAGCTTGATGAGATTGATGGAGAAGGCTATAACAAGGACTCTCTCTCTCTCTCACACACACACACACACACACACACACACACACACACACACACACACACACACACACACACACACACACACACACACACACACACACACACACACACACACACACACACACCATTGTGTATTATGGAAAGTGCTAGCATTGAGCTGTGATAGGGGGCATTGTGTGTCTCTCACAGATGGGTTATTCCCTTGATGGAAGACATGATTATCACACAGAGATGTAAGTTTAGTCAAATGGTATTTTAGCTGTGTAAGGAGCTTATCTTCTTCATTATTAACCAATAATCCATTAAGCACCTGTCCTAGACACACTTGCAAAGTTGAAAGAGGGATTTGGGGTCTTGACATTTGGGGAGGCAGAATGTTTGCTTTATCACTTTAGGTGTTTGGTCAAATCAGAGGACAGAGGATTCTGGATGGTTGAAGACAGGATTTCTGAAACGATGTGTCGGATCCTAAAATATGATAAGAGTTCATTCCGGAGAGACTGATGCAAACACCGCTCTAGCTTCTGCCGAGGTTTGAGCCGGTTTGAATCCACTAACAGGTTTTTATTTAGTAGTAGACAGTAGCTTCTGTGAGGATCTGATATACATGAACTATATCCCCCTCATAACTTAAAACTTGGTCTTTAACGTTCCATTTATTTAACCAATGTTTCTCCTTTATGCATTAGAGTTGATGACTAACAGGTCTAACCGTGCCACTGCAGGCTTTACATTCATCTGACTCCATTTATTTCACACTTGTGCCATGTTGAAAGTGAGACAGATATGTTAGCAGGTCAGATCTGGTGCTATTGTGGAGACGTGACACTTATTCTGACATGAGACCAGCTGCTACACAGCCATCAGGTATCACAGAGGAGGGGGGCTGTCGGAACGGCCTTTAGGCTGGAAGAACTAGGTCTCGTTCAAGTGTAGCCTCCATGAACTTGCCAGAGCTATTCATAAATGAGCACATCATTTGATTTGCATGCACTAGCATGTGCTTATGTTTGTGTTACCAACCTGTGTGTGTGAGGGCGGCAGGCCTTTGCGTCCATAGACTCCAACAAGAGCATCCTTCTGCACGGAGATGTTGAATTTCAAAAACTGTGGCTGATCAATATATAGCTGGGACCTCCAAAACACACCTTGGGTGAAGAAGGAGATACAAATCAGCAATTTAAAGATGAACACAGTCCTTGATGTCCTCTCTATACACCGTACAAATCCACACGCTCACACAAAACCACAATTAAAAAGTCCTGGATTTTAGATACTCCCATCTCCAATGCATGCAGAAATTGAAAATCATTATTTCACATTTTCTTTAGTTATTTCTGTTGAGATCAATTATTCATCTCTTATAGATCCTCCTCTCCTGGAACTGCTGACAAGAAGCATCATACTGACGTTTATTCACCAATATGTTCCAGACATCAGATGAATTCCATTTCAAACTGCTAAACTCATCTTAAAACCACTTCATAAAATCATATACAGTGTGTAAAGAGCGCTTCTTCATTTTGATGTATTGCTCGTAGCTCATGGTTATTAAAACATAACCTTGAATACATATGAATTTGATTTCTGCTGTAGTTCCTTTCAGTAGAAAGCAGAATGATGACAAAGGAAGGATTTATGGTGGGACTGATGCATAAGACTTCATTCGTTTTAGAGCAGTGGTTCCCAACCTGGGGGGCGCTCCACCCTTGGGGGGGCGCCAGGCCTCAGATGATTTGAGGCCAAATATCATATTTAGACTTTTTTTTTTTTTTTACACATATAATTGTAAAGCAATACATGATTGTCACTAAAACTAACTAACTAATTTGAATAACAATTCGCTATACAAGCTATTAAAGGCATAAAAAGACAGAAATGTATAATTCTTTCTATAGAAATGTTTCTTCTGCCCGTAAAGTGTCCAAACCAGGCTTGTCTGGATAAGCGCATTTTTAAAACATAGTCATTGTCCATGCCGGTTTCAGTTGGATTATTTGTCACAGTTGCTCCGATCAGATCGGTCTCCTCCATTTTGTAGATTATTTACGACTTTTGAATCCACATAAACACATCGGCAAAATCTGGCTTACTTTGAGCATGTGTTTTAAACAGTTTAATCCCTTTGTGAATTGTTTCCACTTCCGCCGTCCTTTCATTTCTTCATTCAGCGGGAATCCAAATGAATGAATCCTGAGTCCAATAACCATCAAAGTCACTCCAATAGTGCTCCTTAATTACGCTTTCATGCTCCTTTAACACAATACTTCACATTCATCCAGTTTGTGACAGTAGTTGTAGCATTTTGAGACTTTTAAACTTTAATAACCGCTGTTTCCCCCCCCCCCCCGGGTGTGTGTGGGGGGGAGGGGGGGCACAACTACCAACAGGAGTCATATAAAATGTATATATTTGTTAAAAGCCAAAGAGCAGCATGCGCTGATGGCAGCACAGTAAGGGGTGCATTCTGCTTCTGCACAATATACTTTGTTTACAAATGGCACAGCAGCTTATACTGTGATGTGAGTGTGTGTGTGTGTGTGTGTGTGTGTGTGTATGTGTGTGTGTGTGAGTGTGTGTGTGTGTGTGTGTGTGTGTGTGTGTGTGTGTGTGTGTGTGTGTGTGTGTGTGTGTGTGTGTGTGTGTGTGTGTGTGTGTGTGTGAGTGTGTGTGTGTGTGTGCGTGAATGTCACTAACCTGGGGGGACATCTTGTATGGCTCGCCTCCCCACATCCACCTCCCCCGTGTCTATGGTGTTGTTCTCTAGAAGAAACATTTTTCCTGCAAAGACAAATAAAAACAAAATGTAAAGCATGTTATTTCTGCTTCTCACTCATGTCAAACTATTCCTGCAAAGGTCATATTATAATTGAGCACAAAGCATTGACCGAAGCTGTAGCAAAGGGCTGTTATCTGCAGATTGATCTATTCAAAAGGGCAAAACATTTAACCATAATATCCAAACTGTATTTACCATTCTAACTGGTATTGTTGCCTTTTATAAAATTGCTAATTTGCCCATCAACTGCCACATTTACTGGTTCAAAAGTCTAATATGTAACTCTGCAAAAATAAATGGGAATCTACAATTAAAAACGAATAGGCGGGCATTAATTTCTCTAGTTTCAATCCAGCATGTGCACGATGGAGCTGGAATGGTTCCACACTGTTCAAAGTTTAACATGTCATAGAGCTTCCTGTTCATAACATTACACTCTCACAGCTTAAGTCATGACATCTGGGCAGTAAACATACACTGGATGTGTGTGCGCGTGCGTGTGTGTGTGTGTGTGTGTGTGTGTGTGTGTGTGTGTGTGTGTGTGTGTGTGTGTGTGGTGTGTGTGTGTGTGTGTGTGTGTGTGTGTGTGTGTGTGTGTGTGTGTGTGTGTGTGTGCAGTCTAGACGTTAAGCACATTTGTCACACTAACATGAGCTGAAACATTGGAGACAAGTCTTCAAACCCAGCTCGGAGGCACACACATCTCCCTCTATTTCTAACACACGCACCCACGCACGCACACACACACACACAAACACACACATTACTGGCCTCTCTCTAATTAACAGGCTTGTAATGGTATTCACACACAAACCCACACAAACATTGAATAACAATGAGTATTACTCTATTGTGCTCTTAACCAGTTAAACCCCACGGCCCCGCGGGTGGGGGCAAAATGCAACATCTTGCAAGAAACAGCATCTGAGGGCTTCTTGACATTTAATAAACTATGAATGTGTCATACTCACTTAACGGGAAGAAACTCAGCTTTCAGACAATATTAACCATGTTTAGCTAAACTAAACAAAAGGGTGATAACAAAGGCTCTGAATTAGCCCTGAGCGAACTGCAATTAGCACAGAACTCAAGGTAAAATGCCCTTATTACTTATCGGATCTGCACAAACAAGATAAGATGAGTTATTATGGTTTTATATATATTTGAACCATTAAGCGGCAGGTCTCTCTCCACACAACTGTCACCTTGTGTCTGAGGAGCACCTGCAGTATTGCCTGCCCACTGTGTTGCGGCTGCATTCTGGCAAAGGCACTTCTGTGTTGAAAACGATGTTATGATTGACTAAGGGTTCATCACACAGGAGTTAACCCTTTGTGGCATGGGTTACATGTGCGCAAAAAAAGTACATTTGGGCAAACTAATAGGAAGGCAAAGGCAGGTGCTAAAGTCTATTTGTGCCTGCTATCAGGAGTCTACCAACAGATGCAGTGGTTATTGATGATGATGATGATGATGATGATGATGATGATGATGATGATGACTTTGTACTAATTTGTACTATTCCCAGGGTCGGCGTCATGGGGGGTCATTCGTGGGCCATGCCCCCTCAAATGAGTCACTGTGCCCCCCCAACGCAGGATGGGCAAGCCTTGCCACTTATGAAAACGTTTCCACAAAAAGTTCTTTGTGTGAAATAAATCAGAAATAAAGAATGCAAATACGAAACACAGCCTGATGTGTGCTCACTGCTGCTCTCTGATTGGTGTGTTGCTTGACCAATGACCCCGACCTTTGTCTTGTTATCATTACGTGGCTGTGTGTTTAGATGAAAGCCCAGTGGCGATCTGTTCATCTGTTACACTGATTATACAGTAAAGCCATCGAAAATAATATGATATACAGTACAGTACAAGTACTTCTGGGTCTCTGTGTTTCATTCAAGCTCGGCTCTGTGTGTGTGTGTGTGTGTGTGTGTGTGTGTGTGGCACGAGCGCATTGTGTCAGTGCGCGAGCGGTAACGTGGAATGTTGTGGTTAGCATCTGGTTAGCTAGCTATGCTAACGGATATAAAGAGCTGTTTCTACACCAAGGTGGAGGAGAGTCCTCTCCTGTCAGACTGAGAGGATCTTATAACGTCAGCTCAGTGAGGTAAGGACTCTCTCAGTGTTTAGATAGTTCACTTTAGTGTAAGTTATCTCAGTGGGTCTCAAACGGTTTGGTCACCATTTATGTAAACAAGTATTTGCGAGGAATACCTTTATATGATCATTATAGTTATTAAAAAATAAGAGAATACATGAAAAACAGGTATGAAATACTATAGGACAGTAACACAAGAATACCGTTTAAAAAGGGAGTGATTAGTAAAATATCCATAAAGAACAAGTACATCTGTTTACAGTTCTGTTTCATATGGGTGTTACCTGAGAATATGTCTACGTTTCTGTTTGAGGCTTTCTGCTTACTGTGTCATACATTTTTCTAAAAGGAAATGTAACTGAAGCTTTCATATATTTGTGTGCCTTCTTTCCATTCAGAATAAAGGGTTCAACAAGTATTTAAGTAGGAACTCACCGTTGTCTGTAGACACCATGAAGGTGTTGGGAGTTGTATCTCTTTCCCCTCCTCCATTTTCAAATGCTCCGTATCCCTCACTCTCCTGAAGCTGCCAGTTCAGACCAAACAGGTGCATCGCTAGAGACCAGGAGAGAAAATAATGAGAGCCAGAGAGAGACAGCTGGGAAATACAGTCAGCGCAATGAAAAGAGATACAAAAGTTAGGTGAAGAGGGAACAAGAGGCCAGTGAAGAGTGAAGAAAGGAGACAAATCAAGACGATACAACACACACATATATAAAGTATACACGTAGAATAGAATGTAAACTACACTGAAACAAGGGGGAAAGTGGGGTTGTTCAATTTGCAAATATGCAAAGAATGTATTCATGTTTCTCATCGAAACATCAATCAATCATGTAGAACTATTTTAATCTTGAGGGGTGTACGTTCTATAAGTCTCAATCATGTTAAGAAATAAGAAAAAAGTGATGTTTATCTCTGTAACTCCTCCCACTGAGCACATACGTCAGCAGCTTGCTCTGCAGCCGATTACTCAGCTTCTTATTATTGACAAATATTTTATTCAAAAATCAAAATGGTCGGACTCAAAACCCTACTTTTAATAGTTTCATAATTTAACTTCAACAATATGGCACTTTAATGGACAAGATGAAAAGCAGAACAAATTGCAAAAAATCTTTATTTCAAAATGTTGAAGCTTTTCTTTTTTAAACAAAGAGGGGGGAGGGGTCCACCATATTTTCTTCCCGCATCGGAGTAAGCTGGTTCTGTTCCGAGGAGATCTCTACAAGGTCAAAGTTATTAAAAGTGATTTAATGTCATCAAATGTTCGTCATAGTTACGGGTTATCACAAGACGCATTGTTTGCAAAAAGGTGAGTTCACATTTGCCGTTACAACGAGCAACGTAAATACAGCTGTCAATTTGTAAACATTGTCATTCCCTCACTGGTGTTAGCTAGGACAGGGGTTCCCAAACTTTTCCATGCCAAGGACCCCCATATAGCATTATCCTCTGGCGGGGACCACCCTGTTGCAATTTGTTTTTTTAAATGAACAAGTGCCTCCCGATGGAGCATGCAGTGCGTTGCCACTACATTTGGGGCCTTCTGCCTGATCAAAGCTGTCACTCCGCTTTTTTTGCCTGTCATAGCCCCACTGTCCCATCTGAACACACACCCACACAACGAGACCAGTCAAGTCCGTTTGAGATGATGATCTAAAACTTGGAAAATGTCTCTTCCTGTGGTCCTACCTTCCAGTGCTTTGCAAAATAATATTTCCTCAACAAAGTTGTCTTCTGAAATAAATCTGATGTATGCAAGCAATTCTGCGACATTTGCTACATCCGTGCTCTCATCCAGCTGCAGAGCGAAACATTCACTAGCTCTCACTTGCTCCAAAAGCTGAGCAGATTTTCACTCGCAGTAGCGGCAGCTCGATTCTGATTGGCTTGAAAGGACAAAAAATATGAAAAGATTGGCATCAAAGGACACATAGATTGATAGATATGCAGTTATTAATAAGTTTCCCTCAAACTTTGAGTGACCCCCCTGGCGGCCCCCCGGGGGGTCGGGGCCCCCACTTTGAAAAACACTGAGCTAGGATACAGCCATGCAAATCATAAGGTGAGTTTATATTGATTGACTTGTGTTTAGCGTGTTTTTAGTGTGAGTATTTGTAGAGCTTAAGTCCGGCAGTTGCTTGCTTTTGTGGTGGAACATTACGGGACATAATTCACTGTGTTATAGAGTGTGTTGCGCCACGGACCTGTTAGGTAGCGCACCTGTGGTTTGTTATCATTCTAGCTTGAGTAGCAGCATGTAATGAAGTTGTTCCTACCTTTCTGTAAACTAATGGAAAATAAAGTGTGAAGTGTCATACTCAACACGCCGCCTCCGACTCCCATTCATCAGCTCTACACTATACAATATTTAAAACTATGAACCTTGCCCAAAGTTATGCACATTAAACATATTAAGTCCGTTACTGTTCCTAATTTATTACATTACATTACATTACATTGCATTTAGCTGACGCTTTTGTCCAAAGCGACTTACAATAAGTACATTCGACCAGGAAGACACAACCTTGAAGAAAACAGAATCATATAAGTATATCAGGTTTCATAGAGCCAAACATTTCAAGTGCTACTCAACTGGCTTTAGGTAAGCCAGTCCTTTATTAGTATATAAGTGCTTCGTTAATCGTTCTAACGCTCGAAGTTTTAAATTTTTTCAATTTATGTAAATGACATGTAATCAGCATGTGACTGCAACTTGTTCCTGTTCGCGGACGACTCAGCCCTGCTGGTCTCTGACAGGAACAGGTTGCAGGTTGAAAAAACCCTCAGCTCCGAGCTCGGCAGAATCTGCACCTGGCTCGCCGATAATAAATGATCATTACACCTGGGTAAAACAGAGTCCATTCTCTTCGGTTCGAAACATAATCTCAGCAAATCCGACGACTTCTCAGTTGCAGTGGGCGACATTATTGTCACAAGTAAGAAGGAAATTACATACCTAGGATCTATTCTTGAGGCAAACCTCTCCTGTGACAAAATGGCATCCAATGTAATAAAAAAAGTCAATCAAAGAACTAGATTCCTATACCGGATCTCCTCTCTGGTAAACAAAAACACCCTGAAGACTCTGGCAGGAGCACTCATTCAAGGGTACTATGACTATGCTTGCACGTCATGGTACCATAGCACCTCCAAGGCGCTAAAAATAAAACTTCAAACATCGCAAAATAAACTGGTCAGACTACTGCTTGACCTTTCATCTAGAACCCACCTCACCTCTGCCCACTTTGACAACCTAGGATGGCTTAGAGTAGACGACAGAGTACAGCTACTTGCAATGGGCCTGGTCTACAAGATCCACTACACCTCTATGGTACCCATGTACATGTCAAAATTCTTCCCAAAGGTCAAGGAATACCATGATCATAACACCAGAGGGAGCTCCACAAATCATGTGAAACCCAGATTTGGCACAAAAAAGGGGGAACACACGTTTCGCAATTATGCCACATCAAGGTGGAACGCTCTTCCCACAACTGTAAAGGAAAGTAAAACTATACTTACCTTCAAAACCTCTCTTAAAGAGCACCTTCGGGGGGAGAGCATTGCAAAACTGGCCCCGGTAATGGTACAAATCTCAACCTGTCGTTCAATGGACAGCTTCCCCCCCCCATCTATGTATATACTCGCATTTTAGACTCTGTTACTAACTGTATATCTGTAGACTTGGTATGTCTTAAATGTCCGGTTAGGATGTATTAGAACG